AGTACCAGTCAGAAGCAATCGATTCCGACAGTTGAAACTAAGAAGGGTTTTCCATCTTATACTGTAAAAAAAAAAAAAAAAAAAAAAATATGGAACTTGCATGAGAATCATCAAACACTGGGAATTCAACTTACAAATTAAAGAGTGAAACAAAGAAAACCTTGAGAGCACAAGCAAACCTAATTTAACTGACTCTCAAGGGAAAGGTACGAACCTGGTGGAACTTTTAATTGCTTGGGCCTCATCTAGCACCATATATTGCCACTTCACCCGACGAAAATACTTTTCATCGGTGATTAATAGCTGGTAGCTAGTAATTAATATATGAAAGCCAGCATCCCTGAAAAAAAAAAGAGAAATTTAGAAAAGCGTAAAGAAGATTCATTGATTGTGAAGCCTTTGAGAAAACCATCAAATAAATAATGTGAATTCTCACAACAGAGATGGTTTCCTTTAGATCGATAACATCTAGAACTGGACAAGAATGGTAGAATACTAGCAGTACATATCACTTAATGTCGGAAAGCCCAAGGAAAAGAAACAAACTTTGTCCCCTCAAAATATCACATAGCCATTACCTTCGGTACATACGCTTGGGATTGATATTCTTTCTCAGAATTGTTCGTTCTTGTAATCCTCCCCAGTATGGGAGTGTTTTCAAGTCAGGACAGAAACGACTGATTTCATCAGCCCAATTGTTAAGAACAGATGCAGGGGCAACAACCAGAAATGGACCCCAAATGTTCTTTTCCTGTGTAAGAAGACTAATGAGTTTTAATTCACTACCAAATCACTACAAATATAAAAGACCAACAACACTAATTACCTCAGCCAAATGTGCCAAGAACGCCATAGCTTGAATAGTCTTACCCAAGCCCATTTCATCAGCAAGTATGCCATTCAAACCCTGGAGTATATCAAACAATAATCTTAGTGCAGACCCATACAGAAAGAGGATTTCTCTACTCAGTTCCAGACAACAAAATACACGTAAATAGAGGTTGAGTGAACCTGCTCATAACAATTAACTAGCCACTGAAGGCCTTTCATCTGGTATTCTTTAAGGGTTCCTTTGAACAACTCTGGAGTCTGAACTGTTGATGTAACAGGCATTGTAGATCTGCAGAGTTGAGAGATTTCGTTGGCGTGATAGACTAAAAATTCAAAGACAACGTACGGAAATAACAAGAACACAAACTCACGGGTTATGCAGATCTATATTGCTTGAGCCACAAACTGATATATCATTTGAAGGACCTTCCATTTCAGAAGTTTGCCGTAGCTTCATATATTCAGTGTCAAATGTATTTGTTATTTGCTTCTGCTTGGACACCGCATTTTGAGCAGCTCTCAGGACCTTTTCCTTCAGTTCAGCCTCTTCAGGATCCTCCACCTCAGAAGGTTTTGAGGCTGAAGTTTCTGGGAGCTCTTCGTCAATCAGATTTTCATCTCCTACAGGCAAGGCTTCAGAAGGATTTGAATCGGTCTTGTTTTGCATGAAATGACTGTAAAGCTCAGTCTGTTTGATAAGAAAATTGAGACTTTGTTGCTGCCTTTTTGCCTCTCGAAGCTCCTGTTCACGTTTAAAAGCCTCTGCAGCTTCCTTTTCTTGTTTTTTCCTCTCTTCAGCCTGTCAACATTGTCAAATTATTCCAAGTGCACCGTTCAAAAGAGCTCCAGTTAAAGAATAACAATAAAAAATTCCAAATCTACTACATAACTTCATCCAATTCTATAGCCAAGTTATAGAGTTGTGACTACTTTCTCAAGTCCTTATTTAGGAGAAAGGGGATGGAATCCCGTGCAAAAGCATGTATGATTACAAAAAAGTTGGCAGCAGAATCTGTAACCCAATCTAGTTGGCAGCCTGAAAGTGTACTATAAAGTCAAGGAAGAATAGGAATTGTACCATCTGCTTGTCATATCGCTTCCAAAATAGCAGCATGTCTCTTGATATCTTCCTGGTGCGAATTGGTGCAGTCCTTGGTATTTTGTATGATCGAGCCACCTTCATTCTCACCTGTGAACTCAAAGTAACATCAAATGAGAGATAACTCTAAAGTAAAATGTAAGAGAATAGCCATGTAGAAAAGAAAATGTAATAAAAACTACATGAGCAGTTAAAGCAATACCATGAAAGCCAAATTAAATTACCTCTCTTTGGCAACCATCAGCAAACCTTTTAGCATCAATTGATTGTTTTCGATGAAAAGTAGTGAAAATTCTATGGTATTTTGGTAAATCTCTTCTGACTATGTTGATCCAGACTTTTCTAATTTTGTCCCTTTCTGTCTTCTCAATGACTGCAGGATCATCCTTCGCCTTCAGCTTCTTTGGTAGACTTCGTCGAACAATCTAAAGAAAGGACGCATTAAACAATGTAGGAACAAATAGATAATGTTGCCAGAGCCGTGAAAGATACAAAATTATGAATATTTCCATAAAATACTGTCACATGATCCAAACCTCGTATGTATCCCCCTTCTCCAGAACCTTCACATAATGGACCTGGAAAACACCACCCTCCGACAGAATTGTCCGTGCAGTACTTCCAGCAGCTCCTTCTGGAATGGCAGAATCCATAGCAGCTTCTGACACCTTGAGGCTAAAACTCGGGGTGGAGTTTGAAGGTGACAGGGCCTTCACTCTAGCTTGAAGAGATTCATATTGAGGTCGGGGCTCACCCATTCCATTACGGCTTCTTACTCCAGACCTTTTATCACTAGCCATCAGTTCTGCTAATGATCTCAGATCCAGAGTTCCTTTCAAGTAAAATTCTTCCACATAAATATCTGAAAAGCTTGGCAAGTTTAATGATGCCACGAGCTTGTCATAACTTGGGGGGATTTTGTAGATGACACCATCACCAATGTCCAAATAAGAAGGTTCATATGCTATTCTGCAAATGATGCAAAACTCAACGTGTCAATCTAGGAAATCAAAAATCATTAGTTAACTTAATGGATCACAAAGGGTTATAAAGAGTTCCTTTCAACATACTTAGGGGTAATATCACAATCGCGGTAGCTTTCTCGCCTTTGTGGTATCACGTCAGCTGCAAACTTTGGAGAGGTGTCCATGTCATAGAATCTCCCATAGTGATCATTCCCTGGTTTCCTACCTCTGTAACTGCCCACATTGCTCTTTAGCACCGGAACACCCATCAGATGTGTGGGAGTCCTTTGAGACTCCTTGGACCTAGTTTTGATTTTTTGTACATGATCCCCAAGCATTGATCGGTAGTGCTCCTCAGTAACATGTTGATTGTAGAGATCATCATCATCATCATCAGCTTCTGTCCACCGCTTTCTCTTCTTGGAGCTCACATTCATTCCAGACTTAGACCCATTGCTGTAGTTTGCCACTAGCCCACCTTTGACCATTACCAACCATATAGACAGAAGATCACAGAGATGAACGTCACTAAAACTGTCAACAATTGATAAGAGAAGTAATTCCATTAAATAAAAACTGTACCTTGAGTGCTTCTACTTTCATCCTGGCTACTACTCCCATAATAATCAACTTCATCTTCAGGTTTCGGAATTCTGAACTTCCTCAACGGCTGCAAGAGTGAAGAATTTAAACCCAATTGAATTTTAATAGTTCAACAAAAGCCCTACTATAGAAACAAGGAGGAGATGCTATAGACTTGCAAGATTACAAAACTACATTCATCACAGTCACATGATGATCATCACCCAACAAGTACAAATCATGAGAGAAGACAGCGTAAAATTTACAAATTTCATGGAAAAAAATTGAGACCTAACAGACCTCGAGATCGAAGAGATTCGCGTAAGGCGATTCCTTGGGTGGTCTTCTTGGGTGATCCATGAGAGACGCAAGAGAATGACACGGCGTATAAAAATTCGGTGATTCTAACCCTTAAAGCTGCTAATGGTACGCAAACACTCTTCAGGAGAGAAAAAAAAAAGAGTTCGTCTATAAGAAGAACCCTAATCCAGTATGATAGATGACGAAGATGGAGAAAGGTTAAAGAAGAACATGCGCAATTTAGTGGACACAGGCGGTACGGGAAGAAGTCCAGACTACTAACATACGCCATACAAAATAAAGCCTTCTTATCGTGCGCCCCTCCACAAATATCATTTTTTCTTAACCCCTCCGGTTCCGGCCGATCAGATAACTACGGCTTAAGTATCGTTTTGAAAAAGAAAAAAAAAACTTGTGGGGGAAAAAAATAAATTATAAGAAGTACAAGGAGCGAATTTATAAATATTGAAGAGATTAACCTGTCTCAAAGAGATTATTTGACTGAAAGGTTTGTATTTTAAACTTCGTCTAGCTTGTGACCTTTGGGATCACCATAGACGCGAGTATAGATCTTTTTCACCAAAGACAAGTAAGTTTAAACCTCTTATATTATTTGCATCTCTTCTTTATACCTTGCATCACCGTCTATGATGTAGGTCATTGTGAATGACCCATTCCTTGGCAAGCGAGTTGAGGATGGAAACTTTTCAACAGTACCACTGAGAGATGAACTGTTGCAGTCTTGTGGTTTTAACTTTGTATTCAAATCGTGTCTATTATGGCCTTGTCAGGAGGGTACTTGCTGAAATACTGAACCTGAACTATGAGGAGGCCTAAAGATGGATTGTGAACCTAATCCGTACCTCAAAGCTTGATGCCAAGATTGATTCTGAATCAGGAAGTGTAATCATGGAGCCTAATCAGCCCAACGTGTAAGCATACTTGGATCTATTACATCATTTGTATCCTAATCCTTTGTGTCTGAAATTTCTACAATCTATTCTCGTTTCCGCTTTATGCAGGCATGAGCAGTTGATAAACCACACCAAAAGGCTTATCAGGACGGACTTACAAGTTATTGAATCAGTTCTTGGAACACACACGCATGCACAAGCTACTCGCTAATCAAAATTTTGCTGTTGAAACCTCTCCTTGATAAAACTCACTTGTGCCTTGGATTGAGTATATATGATTCGCTTAAGATTAAATTATAACATGTCACAAGTAAGAATAAAACTTTAGAATATGACACTTAGCTTAAGAGTATAGACAATCATAGGCTCACAACAGCACAAGTAGGAAAAACAAAACTTGATGACACTGGTAAGAACAAGTCACAAAAAAGTATATCAACTCGTAAAAGTATAAAATTACACCAGGAACCCAACATACCAGAGTCATTAATAGAGAGAAGATCTCCGTTTTTTAAAATCTAACCTAGGAGAAGTCCCTTCAGTATGAAGGACTAGCAGATGGTTTCAATTTCTTTGGAGGTGGGTTTCCTCCAGAGAGCACCACATATGAATAGAAACACAACATGCAAGCACTGCAGTGAAAAAGACATGAACACACTGTTACATGAACCCACTAAAGATCATCATCAGTATATTGTGGATCACAAAAAAAAAAAAAAATACCTGACGAAAGCAAAAAGCCCGGAAGGAATCAGCTTCTTAGTCTGCAAAAGTACAACATTAAAAAGGTGAGAAGTCAAGCAAGCAAAAATAAACAATCAGCATGATCAAAAAGATGATAAAATACCATAGAATAAGCTGTGAAGTTCTTCCAGAAGACGACAGCTGACAGCACTGCAATAACAAACAGGGGTTCGATGAATGAGTAAGCACAAAAGCTTTATGGATAACAGAAACATTTTGATAGACATTCATGTGCTCTTGGTTCACAGATGACCACTTGTAGTATTACACAGTATAATTATATGGATATTCATAAATCCACTTATCAAGTGTAAGATACCAGCAATTACTTGATGAAATGGAAGTAAAGATATAATTTAGTGATTAGAACCACCAGTTAAATGTTCTTTTAGAGTGTCGACAGTAAATGAAGATTACCTGCTTGTCCTAGTATATAAGGAAAACTAGATTTTCCCTGTCGCCAAATCTTTAAGCTCAATGTACTAAGGGCAAGAAGGCCACCACCATAGAGGACACCAGTACTTAGACTTGTAAGATTTCGTGAAAACGCAAACCCAAGAAGCCCTCCACTCATAACGAGACCACCTAATAAAAATAAATCATTAGTGAAGCAGAATTAACACAAACGAGTTACCCTGACAAGGTAGTAGGTACCATAAGGAATGCCAAAACAGAAGTCGTGGATCTTTGCTGCTCTAATTGGTTGTGTAGCCTCTACTGGCTCTGTAATAATGTCTTTATTGGTAGCAGTTTCATCCACTGTGGAAAAAGGTGTGGATGTATTCTCAACAATAGGCTTAGGAACCTCAGCTGTATAGCTAAGAGACGCTGGTGTTTCTGAGCTATTCCCATCAACGCTTCTAACTACAAAAGACTGCACCATTTTAAGCGAATTAGCCACTAGTGGTGACACAAATGAGCTCTATAGGTGAGATTCTTAGCACAAAAGAAACAACAAAAGAAGTCAGACATGATTACTTCAAGCTATACAATACTCGAATAATCAGAAATTGTAAGAAAAAACAAAAAAAAAAAGGAAATGATTTTATTACACAAGGTAAATCATATAACATTTCCTACGATATCAGCCAAAGAAGAAGACCAAAAGCTAATGTCTGAGTACGGCCACAAAAAATCGAATCAAGTTCATAATTTTATTACAGAAACCAGGAAAGAGTATTGGGGGCATAAACGCAACCAGACCGAGATGACAAAAAATATGTCTTTTTGGCGATATCTAAAAGTTTACCTGGGGACGAAGCTTCAAAGATGGGCTATGGAAGTGAAGAAATTGACGATTGGTGGATGAGAAAGAAGCAAGCTGAGAGATTTGTGTAGCCATCGTCGAGATCTGAGACTGGTAAAAATTGAAGTGAACAGTCAAAGGGAGACTCGAATTTGAGGGAATGGAGCGTGGTGAGCACAAGAGATGGAGTTGTTGAATTTTTGTTTTTGTGATCCAGCCGGCGTTAAGGACTCAGACGATGCTGATCGGACAATCGTGACCGTCCGTTCGTTTGATTTTGAAGTTGTTCGGTCAATGATTTACGCGCATATGACAATTTCGGTTTAGTTGGTTTAAGCTTTGACCTTTTTGGTGTTTCGCATTGAGTTTTTGACTTTTGGCCGACTTCAATAACTACTACAAGAAGAAGGCGAATTTGTTCGGTTTACTTTGGTTTAAGCTAACACGTGGGCTCAGATTTGTCTCAAGTTCCTTGTTGGGCTCATTTTGTTTGAGGCCCATTATCATAAGTTGGTAACAGTTTGGTAACATAGAGTTCCCTACCTGCTTTTTCGCCTTTCAACAATCTTGAACTCAAATAAAGTTCCACGCGTTGGAGTCCTTCCTCATACGCCTTTGTGTCCAGCACAACACAAAAATGGTCATCATAGACTTGAGATTCTATCATTTTTGTTGTTGATAAAAAAAAAAGATGAATTGATAAAACAGACTTAGCTTATAAACAAAACAAAACACATACAGTATAAGCAAAAAGTCATAGAATAACAAAAGTAGCTTGTTTGTTGAATATAAAAGAAAACCAAAAGAGTTTTCGATTCTCTCATATGATAGGAGGATCCTTGTAAAAAGGCAATACTCTCGAAGTGATGAGTTGCAATATTGACATTAGATCGATAATTGAGTTCATAGCAAGTCCGAAACTCTTCATTGTCTCCAATTCCTAGGAGCCTAACTCTTCTGATGTTTCTTGTTTCAACATTGTAGTAGAAAATGTAAAAGGGTTGAACTTTGTGTGACAGTGACTTTGGTGCCATAATGATCTCATCAGCCTTGTTGGTACCTGGAATACACATCTTCATAACCCCTAAAGAATCCCACACAGAGAAAGGAAACACACATGTTTGCTTTGACCAGTTATGTCTTTCAACGTCCTCTAGTATCCATAAATCAAACTCGTTGAAATAACCAAAAGGGTCTCTCACAATGGATGCTAGCTTCCCTTTGTATTCAATAAATATTGATGCATTCCCATAGTGAACAAGAATCTCAGGTGCTTTGATATAGCTTAGCCTCTCAAATCTAACATCAAAACACACAATACCTGGATTCGAAGGTGGGGTTGGGCTATAAGCACCATAGAACACAAACCCATTAATGCATACTCCCATTGACACTGCAGTATAAAACTGATTGAGACCTTGAATTCGTCTCCATCCTCCACCTACTCCAAGTGTTAACACCTTGTGCTCTACAGGATCATCACTAAATTGATTTAGCAAGGATAATACTTTGTGTTGATCATTAATGGGATCGTATCCCACAAAACCGGCATAGCCAGGGGTTAACTTAATGACTTGCTCTGTGCTAGGGTTACATAAAATGAGCTGAAAACTATGTATAACAGCGAGAATTCCATGGACAGAAGTGCAAGACCCTGAGATGTGATTAGAAATCACTGGCATTGCCATCTCCAAGTTGGGTACCAAACAAGAAGACTCCTCTGCATCGTCTGAGAATGAGAAGTAGAAGGAAAGGTTCCCCTCAGGCTCAGAGAAGTTTCCATCATTACTCAAAGCGAGTATAAACCGGGTTTGCGTTGAGGACTTAGAGGAGAAAGAGTTAATTAACTCTTGGCTACGGATGAAGGAAGACCACATCTTTGACACGTATCGGAACTTCATAAGAGACTTGGCAGGCAATCTAGTTAGTATATCCATCTTTAGTTCAATAGGAAGCGAATCTAGCAACTCACTTGGTTTTGTCTCTTTCTCATCCTCGTCCTCGCGTTTCATGGCGCCTCCTGACGAAACCCTAAATTTAACTCGTAGAAGGTAGATGTCACCCGCAAGAATCAAGACCTAGATTGGTGGGAGGATGAGCCAGATCCTATAATAATACCTAGGATTTTGTAGTCGACAAATCTTTTTTTCCCATATAAGTTTCTTTATCAAAAAAAATATTTACTTCACCATTCACACTAGCGTGATATTTTTTTTTATAAAAGTTATATAAAAATAAAATACATCTAATTTTAAAAATTTAATACACCTTAAGGAGAGATGTCATTTACGCTATCGTTTAAGGGATGTGTCAGTACTTTTAAATTCGAAAACAAATCTATACCACAACCACACATGCATGACAAGTGTGTATCATTAACTTTCATGTATACAAAGATACGATTAAAAGACAAAACCAACATTAATTACTTACCAGTTCTAATGAGAACAGTCGTGTTAGCTCCGAAGTTGCAAAGATCAAAAGTTCAAAACTAATCTCCATACCGGAGTTTCCACCTCCGACCACAAGATCATATCCTTTGAAATCATGACGGGACTTGTACGCACTCGAGTGCACAATCTGTCCGGCCGGGAAAGTATCAATCCCGTTCACCATCGGAAAATTCCCATCTCCATTCTCCCTAGTCGTAACCTCAAGAAACTCCAACCAATACACCTCGGTTTCTCCGGTCACCTTGTTATCCGACTCGACCCTCCACTTGTTGTTGGACTCATTGAACGTTGAGAGCTTCTTATTTACTAATAAAACTTACTTTGTGTTCAATAACTCTTGCTAACACATAGCTATTAGACTATTACTTATGTAAAATATGAATTAAAAAAATTAGTAACGCAAATATTAAAAGGTAGAGAAGTATATATACTTCATGAATAAGTGAAAATAGTATATCATAATGAGAATGTGATGGAGAAAATGAATAAAGTAGAATTTTGGTTATGAAAAACACTTCCAAATTCAAAAAAGTGTCGCATTCTTTATAGTTTCCCGCAGGATTTTTTTTCTTAGAGATCACTCTTAAACATTTTAATTAGACGGAGGATTTAACCATTTTGATGCATGCCCGGCCGATAACAAACTCGATTAGACAATATAAGTAATATTACATTCCGAATTTCGAAAATATTTACAAAACGAGAGAATACAAATAAACCATTAATTAAACCAAAGACATGATTAAACATCCAGAATATACTATATAAACCAAAGCAACAATATATATAATACAATATTTTATGCTTGTTACTTCTGTTTTCTTCTTTTTCATCTTCTTACCAAGTCTTATTATGTTCTCGAATACAGCATCATGCTTTTTTGGTAGCCAAGACAGAGCTGATATCGTCGGCGACGGACACAGCATCCTCGGCAGCTCCGGCGATTCCCTTTCTTGAAAATCCAGCACAGTAAATATTCTTCTCTCCTTTCCAGTGCTTCGGCATGGGTGCTTTAGGGAACCCATCCTCCTTCATCACGTACCCATAGTCCTGTGTATTATTTCACAAAGAAACACATTATTATCATATTTATTTCAATGGGTTTTATTTTGTTTAGGTAGAGAGTTTTGGGGGTACTTATGTTATAATATACCTCTAACCAATTGCAGACAGAACTTTTGTAACCAGTAGCAAACACAATTGCATCGAAATCTTGTTCATGTCCATTTTCGAACGTCAAGGTCTTCCCTTTGATGCTTCCAATCCCACCATTGATAACCTAAAAATATTGCATTATTTATTAGTTAGTTAATAATGTTTTCATTTCATCAAATTTAAGATTTATCATAATAAATAAGTAATCAAGAAGCTTTGAACAATGAAAAATATGGAAGAAAACGATACATAATAAATTCTTATGTTTTACTCAAAAAATAAAATACTAAATTCTTATGTTTTACTCAAAAATCTAATAATAAATTCTTATGAATTTTACCTTCATTAATTTGTGTGAAATCGGTAGGAAACTATAGGTTTGATATGAAAAAAATATAATAATCAAAAAGGAACAACTTTAACGTAACCGTTTTCATATAAAACCAAATTTTAAAAGACTGACACTGTTTGACAAAAAAATGAAAAATAGACTGATATTTTCTATACACTAGATTATATTATTAAGTAAGAAATTTTGTAAAGATGAATTTGATGGACAAAAAAGTCTATAAGGTACCTGAATCTCGCCATCGCGGATCTTTTTGACAGTTCCGACATCAATGACAGGAGCTTTTCCGGTAAAGAGTTTGGTTGCGAAAGGACCTTCTTTTGGTTGGAAGAGTCCGTACTTTGAGAGGTCTCCGTACACAAGATTCGCTAGAGTCGTCACCACTGTGTCCACAACCTTTACCGGAGCATACTTCATAAGTGACATCCCCAAGTGTATCACTTCTTTACTCACCACGTGTCTCTGCAATGATTTAAAGATAGAAGAAATGAAATGAAACCCTAAGATAGAAGAAATGAAACCTAATATATGTATACATACATATATTTAATGTTCGAATGCACAAATTACGTTATAAACTCAACACAAATTAAATTCAAAATATATACATATATATATATATATATATATATATCGAAATCCCATATGATGTTTTCTGTCTAAGAATTGACGACCAATCAAGAAATTAATTATCGTAAAGGGATATTAGTAATTATAAATTCGGAAAAATTATAAACCACAACCACACATGCAAGACATGCAATAATTAAAAGACAAAACCAACATTAATTACTTACCGGAGTTCTAATGAGAACGGTCGTCTTAGCTCCGAAGTTGCAAAGATCAAAACTAATCTCCATACCGGAGTTCCCACCTCCGACCACAAGAACATTTTTACCTTCGAAGTCACGACCGGATTTGTACCCACTCGAGTGCACAATCTCTCCAGGGAAAGTCTCAATCCCTTCCACCATAGGGATATTCCCATCTCCGTTCTCCCCGGTCGCAACCACCAGAAACTCCGACCAGTACACCTCGGTATCTCCGGTCATCGTGTTTTCCGCCTCGACCCTCCACTTGTTTTTGGACTCATCGAACGTTGAGAGCTTCACGGTACGGTTGTACCTAGGGTTTATGTCGAAGCGAGCAACGTAAGCGTCGAGGTAGTTGACGAAGAGATCTTTGGACATAAAGGTCGGAACGTCGCGGCCGTGTGGCATGAAAGGTAGCTGGCAAAACTCTTTGGCCAAGTGGAGCTTGAGACGATCGTAGGCTCGTTTCTTCCAAAGAGACGCATAGATGTCTTCTTTCTCGAGAATCACGTTCGGGATCGAGTGCTGGCTTAGACAAACCGATGTAGCTAAACCGGCTGGTCCAGCTCCCACAATCACCACTACGGTCTCCATATCTCTCTCTCTTTGTGTTTAAAGTGTTTGTAAGATTCTCTCTGGTGTGTTTATAACAGTTATGATTGCTGTGTGAGTTCTTGATTTCGATGGTGTCTTGGTGGTATTTATATATGAGTATATTAGTAGAATTTGAGATATGTATCAATGAAAGAAATTTTACTTTTTGAAAATGGATATATTTCAAACAATATATCAAAACGATGAAATTAAGGAATCTTTTTTATATATTTCCACCATCTGTAAGCAAATGGTGAATGGTATTAAAGAGTGCAAGATTATATTAGCTTTTTTGGAGCTACACATTAAAGTGATACACATCAACAAAGACTTGGGTTAGAACTTATATCACAGATCAGCACAATTTTAAAACACATTAGGTTAAAAAAACGTAACCATATATAAACGTTACCCTGAACTATGATCCACGTGGTTACTTTGTGTGGTGAATTGGCAGAGATATTGTATTGTGTCATATATTTCTGTTTTGCTTTATTCACTGGATTAAATTTAAATTGATGATTCATTTGACTAATATATCAGTTTTTGGTATGTGATAAAATATTATACTAAAAATTGCTTAAGATGATAAAATTTTGTTGGTATAATTTGATAAGATTATGACATGTGTCGAAAATTCTCAGCATGTTATTATTATTTCTTTCAGATATACTATAGATTTTAAACTACTAAATACTAATATTTAATAATAGACACGTATATTGAAATTAGCTTTACCTAAATGATAAATTAACCATTAAAATGTAGTGTCAATTTTTATATAAAAGTGCAATCAAATGGTATATACTGCATTGTTAATTAATGCATTGTAACATTTCTCTTCAAATTTGTTTTTTATTGTTGTTGTTTTTTTGTGTGAAGAAACTGATATTCTTTATATCTGACCATTTTATGACAGTTATAAACATACAAATAAATAATTAATATTTCGGAATTGGAGTGACACATGTTATCTAATTCCTTATATCACTCTTGTACTCGTGTAATTTTTGGATCTTTGAAAAGCAATGTTACTTAATAAATTGAATATTCAAACTCTAAATTCATAAAAGTTTTAAAAATTAAAGTGACACATATTTTTAACAAAAAAAAGTAATACATATTAATTTACTAGATATACATTTTATTTATGTATGTTCATCTACTAATGATTTATTTATTTTTCCAAGTATCCAAGAACATTACACTTGCAAGCTGCATATTGAATATTAAAGCATTTTTGTTATGGGTTAATTAAAAAACAAAATATGTACTGTACGTAATTTATATTTTCTATTATATTTCTGTTCAATATTTAATTTCTTTTTCTTTTTCCTTTACTTTCCACAATATATAGATCAAACAATACAAACAAGGAGATTATTGTTGGGTGAATATTTGAGGAAAAAAGAAGAAGAAGATAATATAATAGCAAGAAAAGACCAAGCAATAGCTAAGCTAATAAAAAACCTAATATATTTGTTAAAAACTTCAAAAAACGACAAGAGTTCCTTTTTAATTTTAAATTCTATTATAAATATCCAAATGATTTCGACGGAATTAAAAGTTACTTACGACGCATAAATCTTTTGTCGGGTTTACCAAAACTATATTTGATAGATAATATTATCGAAAAACCATTCATGTAAAAACGACAATAAAATAAAGACACATCAAATAAAGAAAATGTAAAATAATATTAATGTTAAAGGGAAAGTGTTCCCTAAAATGTTTAAATTTTCTTGTTGAATTATCCAAATGCAATTTTAACGGAAAGTTACAAATGATTGTACATTAGATGATTCTTAAATTTAGTACAATTTTCTTGTCGCATTGGCCATATCTAGTTTCAAAAGCGCATTCATGTGAAAACGACAATAAACTAAAGACACATCAAATAACGATAATTAATGTAAAAAATAAATATGAAAAGAGAAATTTTTCCTTTTAGGTTTTAAATTCTTGTTGGCATATCCAAACACAATATTTACGGACAGTTACATATGATCATAGATTCAGCAATTGTAAATGAAATATAATTATTTTGTCGGCACTAACCAAATGATAGATACTATTTTCAAAAATGCAATCATGTGAAAACGATAATAAAATAAAGATACACCAAATAACGACAATATAAAACAAATATTTAATATCAAAAAAAAGTTTTATCTTTCAATTTTTATTTCGTGCTGGAATATCCAAATACAATTTTTACGAAAAGGTTATACATATGATCATAGATTCGACGATTGTAAATGTTGAATAATCTTTTTGTCACGTTCACCAAATGTATGGATAGCGTTGTTAATAACCGTATCAATGTAAAAACGACAATAAAATAGAATAAAATAAAATGAAATAACAATAATCTAAAACTATTTTCTAACAAAGGACACCATACTATTTGAGTATTGTCATATGGTTGCAGAGAAAAAAAAAAGAAACTAGAAATTATTTTATAAGAAAACATATCACTTTAATTTCAGTTTACCACACCGATTTGTAAAATTTTAAATCTTAGTTTTCTACTAGAAATATTGTTAAAAACATGAAACATATTCTCCACTACAAGGTAACGTATTCAAAATATATAATTCAACGAAGTCATACCATTTCTATAACTAAAAATTCCCTACCAAACATATTAATGACCCATTGGGCCTTTTAAGCTTCGTAAGGCCCATACGTTTTGGTTTGCTTCGTCTCCTAACCGGACCGGTTAAGGGATTTAGAAAATTAGGAATTAAGATCCTCAAATCAAAAATTTCAACCTTCTTCTATCTCAATCGCGACCAAAGATCTCTCTGATCAAAACCCTAATTCCCAAATCTGATTCTTATCCTCCGATAAGTTTTTTTTTTTTCCAAAATTGGTTTGATCTTTGTTGAATTCTCAAAGCAGCGAAGATGGTGTTGGCGGAGCTAGGCGGGCGGATCACCCGCGCGATACAGCAGATGAGCAATGTGACAATTATCGATGAGAAGGCTTTGAATGAATGTTTGAACGAGATCACTCGTGCTCTTCTTCAGTCCGATGTTTCCTTTCCCCTTGTCAAAGAGATGCAGACCAATATCAAGAAGATCGTTAATCTTGAAGATCTAGCAGCTGGCCACAACAAGCGCCGGATCATTGAGCAGGTTTCATTTCCTTTACCCCCAAGTCTATATCTTTGGAATTTGATTCAATTGTGATTCAATTGGTCATGATTTTTGTATTGTCTTGTCTCAGGCTATCTTCAGTGAGCTATGTAAGATGTTGGATCCAGGAAAGCCTGCATTTGCTCCCAAAAAAGCCAAGCCTAGTATAGTTATGTTTGTCGGATTACAAGGTAAGGTCTTTTTAAAAATTATTTGGGTGCAAATTGTGTTTGACTTGTTTCTAATGTAATCCCAACTTCTTGTGATTATGTTTAGGTGCTGGAAAGACCACAACTTGTACCAAGTATGCTTATTATCATCAGAAGAAAGGGTACAAACCAGCTCTAGTCTGTGCGGATACTTTCAGGGCCGGTGCTTTCGATCAGCTGAAACAGAATGCCACTAAGGCTAAGATCCCATTTTATGGAAGGTACTCAAGTCAACCCCTTTACTGTGTTTCCTATGTATGAAGAGTTATATCTTACTATTTTAAAAGGATTTTTATTAGCTCCCATATAAGGATGGATTTTTCTTTGAAATTGTAGATGCAAAGTTCAAAATTTATGAAATAGGTTTGGTTTAGGTCAGTAGCTGCAAAAATCTTCTCTGAAATGGATTACTGTTACTTCTTAATATGTTTATTTTTCCATCATCCAGTCAGTTGTCATACTTCTCTAGCTCTCTGTTTCCTTTTTATTTTTATTTTTTATTTTTTCTCTTTCTTGCGCTCTGTTTTGGAATTCATTACTTGTGCCACTCTATCAAAGGATACCACATCTTTTTCAAAGAGTTAAATAGATCTTTCGAGATCTTGTGTCATCTTCTGTTTTCGTTTGCATTTACTGCGACTTTTCTACCTGTAATTTTGGATGTTTGTCATTGACACTTACGTAGGGAATTGAAAAATATGTACTGTATTAGCAGCATGTGCTAAGGCCGAGTTATGTTTCTTTGCAGCTACACTGAATCCGATCCAGTGAAAATTGCTGTTGAGGGAGTTGACAGGTTCAAGAAAGAAAACTGCGATCTTATTATTGTTGATACCAGTGGTCGGCATAAACAAGAAGCTTCCCTCTTTGAAGAAATGCGTCAAGTTGCTGAAGCAACGGTATGCTCTGTTGTTTTGAAGTATTTGTTTGTTCCTAGTTGATGCTACAGACACTAATGATCATGGTCTTTACACATTACAGAAACCAGATCTTGTTATATTTGTTATGGATAGCAGTATTGGTCAAGCTGCATTTGATCAAGCTCAAGCATTTAAGCAAAGTGTTGCTGTTGGAGCTGTGATTATTACTAAGATGGACGGCCATGCCAAGGGTGGTGGAGCTCTTAGCGCGTAAGTATTATTTAGCTACTGACTACTGAGTTGTCTATGTACTCGAAATATCAGTATGAAAATTTTGCGGGTTTTTAAATTGGACAAGTAAATGTGATCCATTTTCACCTTCTTAGTGTTGCAGCTACAAAAAGTCCTGTGATATTCATTGGAACAGGAGAGCATATGGATGAGTTTGAAGTGTTTGATGTCAAACCATTTGTCAGCCGTCTCTTAGGTAACTTTCATGACATTGATTGAAGATTATAGTAGTACCAGAAGGAGTAATTGAAGGCTCCCTCCCAATGAGTTGTTTGCTCAGAATCTTGATAATGTTATATGTACAACAGGAATGGGTGATTGGTCTGGATTCGTGGATAAGCTACAAGAGGTAGTACCTAAAGATCAACAACCTGAACTTCTGGAAAAGCTCTCCCAGGGTAACTTTACACTGAGAATTATGTACGACCAGTTCCAGAACATACTGAACATGGGCCCACTCAAAGAGGTCAGAAACTCTTATCAAATATTAGTTAGGTCGAATTAGTACGGGTGTTTGATATTTAAATAATGCTTGTGTGTAGGTTTTCTCAATGCTGCCTGGAATTGGTGCGGAAATGATGCCGAAAGGACATGAGAAAGAAAGCCAGGCGAAGATTAAACGATACATGACAATGATGGATTCTATGACAAATGAAGGTAAGAGCAATATATATCATATTTGAGAAAGTTTTTCAGTAGGAAGTAATAAAAGAGTGATGGATGGGTTTGTGTATGTGCAGAACTGGACAGCTCAAACCCTAAGGTGTTTAACGAGTCAAGGATGATGCGAATAGCAAGAGGGTCAGGGAGGCAAGTAAGAGAAGTGATGGAGATGTTAGAAGAGTACAAGAGACTAGCAAAGATATGGAGCAAGATGAAAGGACTCAAGATCCCAAAGAATGGAGACATGAGTGCACTCTCGAGAAACATGAACGCTCAGCACATGAGCAAGGTCCTACCGCCTCAGATGCTCAAGCAAATTGGCGGAATGGGCGGTCTGCAGAGTCTCATGAAGCAGATGGGTTCCGGCAAGGACATGATGGGCATGTTCGGTGGCGGAGACAAGTAGTTTCTTTCGGTCTTTTTTTCTTGCATACCCAAAAACTCCACGCTGTCATTATTAGAGTTTTCCCCCTATTGTATTTGTAAAATGTTTGCAATTTTTTTTCCAATTTTACGAAAAGAGTTTTATACCAAAAGAATTGGGGAAGAAAAGAGTGATCAGATCGGAAAGAAACATGAACGACACATTACATGAAGAACACTAATCAAACCATTTTATACCAACAGAGTTTGGGGAACAAAACTGTTTCAGCTTTGAACATGATCCTCTTACTCTCTTTGAATCGATAATACAATAAAAGAAGAACGTAGAATAAACAATAAAAGAATGAATTAAGAATCAACTTTAATAACTTTCACCAAAATTTGAGACCCCTTAATCTGTCTTTAGCTCCCAGAAGAAACAGGAGCAATTACATACAGTCTTCGAGGGTCTTGTTAATCTTTTTCTATGTTGCAACAAAAGTATCCATTTTACTGAACCTGAAAATCGAGTAAATATTTCCAGACATGAGAGGGATGATGCTGATACTATTGTGTTTGAAAAAAAGACAGAGAAAGAAAGTTTTTACTTGTTGTCTAAAGAGGAAAAAGAGCAAGATTTCATTCCAGATATCAGGTACTCCGGGTAGACACCAATGACTACAATCAGGTACCAACGGATTATCGCTCCATAAGCCGACATGACCATCACTTCGAAATGCTGACATCGAAGTTACATCCAATATTGATACTGGAATTGTCATGTTCTTTACTACTTCTTTGATCATTTCAGTGAATATGCTTCTGTCTCTTCCTTTAGTGTCTGGCGCTGGATACTTTGTCACATTGCATGATCTATGCTCACTAAACCACACAACAGAAAAATGCTTAAATTAGCATCATTTAAGGAAACGCAAAAGAAGAACGGGTAAAGCTATTAAAAAAAATGGTTTAAACCTCCAGTGCGAAGGCTCAAATGTACGAAACAAAACCCGTGTTTTGTTTCGATCAATTGTATTCTCCATCCATGATGCCCATGTTTCTAATGCTACTCTATACGCTGCAGGAATCGACATTCCGAGCCTCAGTGAGTTTCCAACCTGAAAATAACAACCACTGGAAGTTCCAAAACACAATTAGAAACGAGAGAAAATATAAGAATTTCATTTGCAAACGTTGTATAACCTATAGAGTTTTTAAGACAGCTTACGTTTCGAAAAGCTTCCCAGGCACCCACCATTGACCAGTATTGAATATGAGAAAATCCGCTGTGCTCCATTCATGATTAATAACATCTAAAACATCTAACTTTAACGTTGACTTAACACGTTTTGGCGCATGCCAACGCAACTTCCCAGGCTGAACTAAGAATACCGATCGGTAAAACTCAATTGTAAAATTGAAGGTACTAAACCTCACACCTAAAAACCGTATCCTTTTCGTTATAATGTTCCCATTGACTTCATAAACACTGCTTTTATCTTCCAACCCAGTCATTAACATACAAATCAAAGACTCCCACTGCGTTCTACTCATCGAATCTCCCACAAAAACTATCCTTTTACCTCTTAACCTCTCCAATACATCACGTACTTCAAATCTCGGAACCGTACAATGCTTAGGCTTCCACCTCCACTTCAAATACTCATCGTGCCCACGCCCATTCGCTAAGCAATTGAATCCTTTCTCTACAAATGGACATTCTGAAGCATTATACAACGGGTAGTTTTCATCAACAACCCAATTCCCATCAAATATGTCACATTCCTTATTCTCTGTAACAGAGCTGTTAAGCAGCAATGCTCCATTATAACCCAAGAACGTTTGGCCGAGGCTAGGAACAACATACAAATAACCCCCAGCGATGATAACAAGAAACGAAACTATTGTTCCGGCGATAATAAGCACCTGAAACAAGTATGAAATCTCTTTTAACCGGTTAGTAGACGGGCGTGGACTTCCTCCAAAGTTCTGTGATCTCGGGCTTGCGAAAGCTGAGCCAATGGGACTAGTAAAGGCACTTGAAGAAGAGTTCCTAGGGCTTTCTATAGCTAAGGAACTTAATGCCCTTCTATTGAATGACGAACTCTTGGTGAAACTAGTCATTGTTTCCTTAATGATTCAACCGCATTTTCGGCATTCAACACCATAAGAAAGATTCTAGCTAGTTACTATATAAGGTCGTATCTCTAGCTTCTCCGTTTCCACTTTGACCTAATCCAAATCCTAAACCCATCATGCAGAACAACAACAATGTCGAACACAGAGATGATCCAATCTCTTAGCTGTAACCAAACGGTTGAAAAGACATCATTTTGACGCAATCCCAGAGATAAACGGATCAAATCACTAAATGGGTAATGTTCAAATCCGATAAACAATAAATAAAAACACCAACCGAATCGGAAGAGAAGAAGAAGCAAGCAATAATCAGAAACCTATACCGCGAGAGAAGATTACAATTTGAGCAAAGAGACTTGGAGGTTCTTGAAATCAAGACGCGGTTTGTCTGAGATCGGAGAGATCAGAGGGAAGAACAGAGAGAGAGAGAGATCGGCGAGGAAAGAGGACACTGTCCGATTCCGATGTCTGCTCAGTAATTTAGTTTTATGCTTCAAGATTTGGAAATAGCGAAAAGGCCAATTTGGTAAATTTAGAAGATCTATTAAAAATTATTGGAAATTTGTCTTTTAAGAATGTTTTGGTCATTGATCCTTGTCGTTGCTGTTGTATCCCATTTAAAGGAACTTTCGTGACTTCGCTTTTTCTTTATGATTGCGAAACATCAACCAAATGATTTATTAAATTATCGTTAAAAAATCGGATAATGTACTAATGTGTATGTTGTTCTGTTCTGTTATTACTAAACAGAGATAAAGAAACAGAAGCTAGGTAGGTAATATAGTTAATGCCATTACTGTACTTGGCTTATTTCATAATGATGGCACTAGTACTAATTACTATATTTTACAGATCATATAATAACCCAAGAAGAAGATTAAGTAAGGTGGAGCAAATAGTTCAGATTTAAAGAAGATCAAATCGGGTAAAGAACAAAAAGAGTTACATGACAAAAAAAGAAATCAGCATGTCAAGAAAGAGATTGATCATCCACCATCATCATCATCTGACTTCTAACCTTTTCTATATTCTGACAACACAGAACCGATAAATGAAACCTTTTTGTCTGCTAACTTATTAAAATTCAACCAAAAAAAAACAAATTTTCTATTTTTTTGTCTAGACAAAATCTCTGTAGGAATATCTACATACAACTGAAGACAGGAAGCAAACATGAGCTTGCTTGATTCTTCACCTACTTCAAAGAGAAGTAGAAGGTTTTAACAACATTTCTCAGCTCCTCTAGCTTCTATGGTGGCTTTTGTATTTAGAGAAACAATGGAGGTTCCATTTAAATTAGCTCTTCTTAACTTTGCTAACGTACGCCTGAAAGTTGAAGACAAAGACATTGGTTAAAGAAACCTCCAATATGAACTGCAACTTTGGTCTTAAGCTTCAAACAATGAGTTGTGTGAACATATAAGCATACCTGAACAAGCTTGGTAAGCTTTGGTTTTGATGCTGATAAATAATGGTCGATCTTCTCTTGAGTTTGAGGAATGTTTCCGCTTTGAATTGCTCCTGTAACTTTGTCAACGACCTTCTTGACTATGTTTTTGTATGCATCTTTGTTCATCCCACCTTCTTTCCAAGCAGGTTTTAGAAGCTCCTTAACAACCTCCACCAGAGCAAATTTAAACGCTCTCATTCCCTTGGGATCTTTTTCTTTCTTGTTGTTCTCATCGCCCGCCCCATCATCTTCTTCTTCTTCCTCTGCTACGTTCTCAGCATCCTCAGCGGTGTCTTCTTCTTCTCCAGTCTTTTTCCCGTCTGGCTTTTTGCTAGCTTCATCATCTGTCTTTTTGTCCCGGTTTTCCTCAGATGAAGCCTTTGGATTTAAAGCTAATGAGACCAAGTTTTCAGGAATCCGCACTTGCTGTGCCTCGCTGTTAGGTATCTGTAATGCAGGAACCAGTGGAACTCCTCCGGTATGGATGGAATTATTACTGGGGAGGTCACCCTGAGTATGTGAAGATTGTTCCTTTACTCCATATACTTCAGGCACCTGTATTGCCTGTTTGGGATTCAATGTAGATTGAAGGTGCGGAATTGGCTGCCCATTACCAAAAAATTGTGCTAGAGATGCTGAGATGTTGCTAATATGATTAAGCTCTTCCCTACTCACAGTGTTTTGAGCGTTTCCGTTTTCAGGATTGCTCGAGTTTAAGCCACCGGGAAGATTTGGAGCAGCAGGTAGCAGCACCTGGCTTCCTCCAACAGCTAGTGGTGTGCTTTGGTAAGGCACTGCAACATGATTTTCAATGTTCTGATTGAATGCTTGGACTGGAAGAGCTGGGGTAGCTAGGTTGTTACTGAAATTGTTGTGATGCGAAGAAGCTACAGTATTTTCACCCACGGTTGAAAACATACCAACAGTCCTTCGATTTCCATCTTGCTGAGCTATCGATGCAACACCATGCTCATAAGCAGGTGCCAAAGTATCTTTAAGGACTCGTGACTGTGAGCTCTGAGACATGCCACCATGTTCTTCGTTCACAGGTTTCGTTAAAGTTTTAACACCGTAATTCCAATCTGGAGACATCTCCATATCATCAATCCAGCTGCTATTATTACCCTTTGCGTCAGACATACCTTTACTGACACGAGAAATTTCGGCCTCAGTGGACTTTCCTGCATCTGATCTTTCGACATCATTCCATCTATGACTGTTCCTCATCCTCTCTGTTGGGCCACTATGATTATTGTTGTCATGTCTACTATACATCTCGTCTTGCGGCTTTCTCTCAGGGCTTCCCCTTGCAGAAGGAGCCCCATGGTGAGAAAACCTACAATTATTTCCATTGCGACAGTACCCTGAACCTGAAGCAAAAAATCTGCATGGAATATTGGAGCTCCTGTGGAATTCTCCCTCGGGAACATCCCTTCTATGTGTTTCTCTGTCTCTCGCTGCTTCATTTCTGTAGTTTCTCGAGATTGGATCTGAAGTTTCTCTTCTTGAATTAGTATTATCCTCCGGAAAATTAGAGCTATAGTCAGTTCTGCCACCGACCCTTACGGGGTGTTGTTCCCGGGAATCTTCAGTATAATATTTGGTATCCCTTGTCTTTCTATTATTACCCTCCCAATCATAGTCACCAGCTTTATTGTGTCTACCATCAAACTCTCTTCCTGACCTTGGAGAAACCCGTGCTCTCGTCTTGTGCCTGTCATAGGATCCTCCTCCATCTCGCCTTACTCTCTGCGATGGGCTTCGGCTCCTGCTCCTGCTGTTACTTCTACTTCCACTCCTGAAGAAAGCACAGCAGTCGAACACAAATTAATCAAACACAAGTACTATGTAGATAGATGAAACAAAAGCATTAAGACATTTGTAACCGAAACTGACCTACGGGTTCTAGCCCGTTCCTTGGAAGCTGATTGGCGGATATACTGTTGCCTGCTTTCATCTTTTTCAGAAGAGTTTCTAGGATCATCATAGTAACCCATCATGGCATCACCATCGTCATGTGAAACTCTGCTTCTGGATGGCCAAGCTTCTCCAGAGCGTTGTCTAGATTTCAGATGCTCATTGTCGTCATCCGGACCAGCCCTCCTACTTCCATTTCTACCATTACCCTCTGGATAGAACCGTGCATGCTCGGGATCATTGTCACGGAAAGCTGATTTCCCAATGTAATCATTCCCAGTAAGATGCTGAGTATCTTCTTCCTTGGTATCCCACTTCGAAACACGTTTTCTCCCAGAACCACTCATTTTCACCCGTAATTTAGGCCACAGAATAATACTAACTGTCAGCTGGGAAAGTCTGCAAGAGAGATAATGTAGCCAACAAAGATAAAAACACACGTCAAGAGAGCTACCGTTATTTGCATATCACAAAGGCGTGTCATATAGAGCGTGAAACAAAGAAGCAATGTAAGAAAAAACTTATAAGAAACATTTTGATCTGAAATGGTAAAGATACAAGAAGTACTCAAAGCAGAAGCATTTTATTGGTATCAAAAGGTTTGGATTTATGAAACACTCAAAGCAGAAGCATATCTCAAAGAATAAGATCAAAATATACAGGACAGAGTTGAGATCAAAGGCCACTAAATTCAGAATCCTAGATAATCTACAAACAGTGAATTCGAAGATCCTGTCATAAACAGAATGAATCAATAATGTAAACAACTACTCGAAGCTAAGAAGGAATCACACCCATCACTAATTGAACCAACGCCAAAAAAAAAAACCAAATTTCAAATCTTCAAATTCCACGAAACCCTAAAATCAACAAAGGAAATAGCATTGAGACAGAGAGAGAAGAGAGAAGAGGACACTCACGTGAATTCAAGGAAGGAGCGACACCATTACCCCAAAGAGAGAGATAAACCCTAGCGAGAGAGAGAGAGAGCGTGGTTCTCTTCTTTCTCCTCCCAAATCAACAAATCTTACTGAAGCGTATGTCTCTAACGAGGAAGCTTCATCGCTTCTAGGGTTTCCAGAGGAATGACTGGAGAAAGGAGATGACTTTATAAAAATCCTGCTTTGTTGTGATTTCTTCTTCTTCTTCTTCTTCTTCTTCTATGCCAACAGCAGTTGGAGCCCAAAAAGCTCTTCTTAGGTCCAAGTTTCTCTTTTTTTTTTCTTTTTTGGCAAAGTCTCTAATCTTAGCCGTTAATTTTCGTTTAATGTCAGGATCTGTCTGTGTTCATACAAACCGGTTAAGTAAGTTCAAGAAATTTTCATTTTTAGCTACCCGACAGTAAAATACTTTTTTTTTTATCTCTTAACAAGGCCCATTCAGCCCAACAATGTTTCTTGGGTTAAAACCCAACTATGTTTTAATTTAAAAGTGTTCATCTCTCTTTAGACAATGTTCAGTATTAAATAACGCAAAAACGATTAAATGAAGGAAGTTGTAAATTCATTGGAAGCTTAGGAATTTTTGAAAAAATCAAGAAAAACATATAAATTAATTAACGAAGATTCAGATTTAGGCACGATTTTTAAACTACCAAAAAAAAAAGTAAATTCAACCAGTTTTTGTCGCGGAAATTAGTACGTCTAAAAGTAAAATTCTAAATTTTTTTGCAAATCCTAAAAACTAAACTATCATAAATATCAAGTTTGACATGTTCACAAAATCCTTAAACTAAAATGGTTTCCCAATAGTTATTTTGCTTATCCTAGGTTTTGTCAATAAAATAAATTAATCATATTTTGTGTCAAATCATTAAACATAAAATATTATGTAAAAAGGTTGAGAACAATCAGATAATGCATAATAGATTATATTTATACCCACACTAGCAGTTGACCCGCGCTACGCGCGGGAGGTTTATAATTTTGTTTCTTTGATTTTTTATTCATATTGTGATATTTTTTTATTTTTTTAATTAATTTTCAAAAAATATTATAATTATTTTCTCTTTAATTATTATCTTTCAATACTCAAATTTGGATTAAAAGCACTTGATTCAATTTATGAAATATCATTTTTTTTCTTTTTGATCATGTTATAAACTAATATTTCACTTTCATTTTTTTCCTCTTTATAATTTTATATATACAATTACATAACTGTTGTTTTAGTCTACCATAAATTTAAATTTTATTTCCATTCTAAAACTCAGTAACATATTTAAAATATTAAATTATGATCAATTTAAAATGAAAGTTGAATTATATTATTACCACTAATAAAAAATTAAAGTATTGTTTTTCTTATTTTAACATTTCATTTTTTTACATAATTTATTTTTATTTATATAAACTTTCTATTAATTAAATAAGTAACATAAATATGCACTAAATGAATGTTTTAATTTATTTTAATGTTTAAACAAAAATGTGGCTTAGGTGGATGTTTAGGTGGCATCATGAGAAGAGAGAAAAAGCTAACTTTATATATATAGATAACTATGTTATTCTACCCATTTCGTAAAATTCATCCAATTGTATATGCATGTCTTATGAGTTTTTGCTCACATGAATGCCTCAAAATTAGAATGCTATACCAAATTACAAATGTAGACTTCGTTCGATGACGATAAGTTTCGTCTGAACTCTTCCAAAATTTTGCAAGCTCACTTGGCTAACTTCGAGGTTATATTTTTCGGAATCCTAAGCCATGTCAAAACAAACAAACACACAAAAAGAAACAAGTTAGGTAGAAAAACAAAAAATACTTTGACAAAGATATAAACAAGACACAACGTAACCCTGACCGCAAAGTATAAATGAATTAATTGGGACACCAATTAATTATTCCCAGGGATTGATCATTTGATCACATGCAGGATCTTATCATAAACCCTATTTAATTACCCAAATCTTATTAATTAATCAATCAACTAACTACAGATTTCGATATCCGAATCTCTCCATACCCTAATCACGTATTAATCATTAATCAAGGCCTAAATCCAAAAGTAAATAATTTAGCCAGTAAGAGATTGATTTTTATATCCGGAAACTAATTTGTAATTTTTCCTAACACCTTTTCAACACAAATTCGATACTCTACACGTAAATTCGTATTTTACTTTAAGCTAATTCACACCACGTACGTAATGTTAGTATATACATGGTACATGATCTTATATCTAAGATCACAAATTTACTGAATTAGTGAATTCGTTTAAGTTCAGTAATAGTTTGTACTTAATAATAGCTACATATATAATTCTGTTGGTGTAAACTCGTCCTTTTGACAGTTGTAAATACGTTTTTTTTATGTTACATTGTCATCATGTTATGGTGTATACGATACTACACACTTCAGATTGACCGGTCCAAGGAATAAGTCAACAATTGCATGGGACTCGAGACAGTAGCTTAAAGCTAATAGACTTATTACCCTAATTAAATACTTTAATTTTGAACTTATATATGGTACAATTAGTCGTAGCACCTTTTTTTCTTGGCGTCAAGATCGTATTAATTAGCCTATTTTAAATTTAGGCTTCGTCGAAAGATGAACTCACGTAAGTACGTAACTACGTACGTACATCCATAAAACTTTTTTTTTTTATTTCCGTAACATATTCGAACTCAACCACGTATCATCAACTAGAAAAGTATTAATTATTTTCACGAATTCAAACTCAGCCACATAAAGACATGAAGCAAAAATACATATAAGCTCTCTAGCTTCTTTAAAGACCATGCGTGTAGAGTACTACTCTCTCTACTTACGGATCATGAAAATGTAAGACTTTGACAACACACTACTCTCCCGTTCACTAAAACTTTATCGTAATATAGAAACAAAAAGAATTACATTATAAATAAAAACATTCCACGTTCAAGATTTATCCACCATAAGTCTGTAATATACTAAGAAATCACCTTTTTATTTTTTATAGATAATACTCATATATAAGCTTCATGGTTCAATTATTTGCAAATGACGAAGATACGAGTTAGGTACGGTATAACAAAAAAAAAAAACAAGTTGCAGGTTTTGTTTAATTCATCTTCACCAAAATTACGTGCGTAGTTTGACCAATCAAATCTCTTGAGATACGAACAAAATCATCCCAATGGTTCTCTCGAATCATAAATATGTAAAGGTAGCGAGTTGTCGCATTATGTTTAATTTACTCGAAAAATGTTTATTACTTTATGATTGGCATGATCAAATGAATTATTTAGTCACATAATTGTTTATATTTTTTGTATTATGCATGTAAAATTTTGTGTATGCAATGAGCACAGAATTGAGAAGATTATTATGCCTTCCTACAAGCTGGGGAAGAATTAGTTGTCATATATTTCCATAATTAATCTTTGTTTTTTTCTATCCCGAACAAAAGTTTCAATTATTTGGAAATGTAATAAAATCATTTGTTTTGCATATAATTAAGCATATTGTAAATTGTGTAGTAATCTTTATAAATTTATTTCTCAGGCCTCAGATACATTTATACAGATACCTATGTACATACAACTATATAAGCACACATCGTCGACGACTAATGTTACATTACATGCATATATCTATGAGCCCTCTCTCTAATTTTCTCTCTCTCTCTAAGACTCAAACTCTCTTTCCAAATTCTGAAGCTCAGTTTGAGTCCATATAACTACTACAGTCAAGATTACTGGTTCATGTTACGCAGGTATCATCATCGTACTATATATAGTCTCAAAGTACTCTCAATATATACATTCCTTTAAATGTATATATATGAACATTCACATTCTTTTTTTGTAGTTTCAACATACATATGTTTGTAGTTTCAATATACTACATTTATATGTTTTAAAACTTCTTTTCGTATATAACACCTCTATCACGAAAACTATGTTTGTCATAAAAAGAAGGTTTTAGGAACGGAGAGAGTATTAAACTTGAAATAATATTGTCTAGATATATAAGCATGTATATCAGAACATAATACAAAAAGTTTAACCAATTAAATTAAGCTAGTTTATGAACAGCTTAATCAATTAATTTAATACCAATTTCTTTTTATCAATTATTCATTTGTGATTAGTAATTACTATGAAAGCTTTAGTTGACCGAATTACAAAATAATTAAAGAAAATGATTTTTTTTATTTTCTTTTCAGAACATAAATATTGATTGTTAATATTACTAAGACAAAAAAGGACAAAAAACTCAGCTATAATGTTATCAGCGAAAAAGAAAATGTCAGAAAGAAAGAACATAAAGTAAAGAATTTATCGAATTATGCAGGGTTTAGGTAATTACTACTTAATCTGTGTTTTGTCGACAATCGTGTCTTCTCGTTTGTTCTGCGCACTAAACACGATTCTGATCCATAAAGCTTAACTCTTTTTTTCTTTTAATTCGCCGTTGTTGCAGAACAGACATAAAAACCCCAAAAGAAAAAAAAAAAAAGAGAAAAAGCACAAAAACAAAAACACAGTTAAAGAGTCTGAGAAATTGGTCGGGAGTAAGAGGTTTTAATTGTCTCCTGTCTCCTGAGTCGCGGCCACTTCGCCGTCAAAAAAGATCTCTGAGATTCTCATTGGGCCGCCATTGATGAACCCAACCTACTCACTGTGACACCCATAACGTGGATATGTTCCTGTCTATTTTACATCTTCCCTCACACGGATGATACTTCGAAGATAACAAATCTTGCTGAGGTTTGAAGAAAGAACATCAAATCAAACCCCAATTCCGAATTTGACTTCTTTTGTTGGGGATCATTGCTTCTTACTTAGACAAAGGTACATACTTTTTTACCTTTCAGAGCTTTTGATTATTCTATTCACTTCCTTAGTTTCAGGAACCGTCTTTTTATGTTCTATATATTATCTTTACAAATCTTGGGGGTTTTCAACATTGTACTGAACATTTCACATCGATTTATGTTTAGTTCAGAGAATTGAGTCGGGTTAGTTTTTTGTTGTTGTTTCTAATGGAAGATTTGGTTTCACACTTTTGGTCTTAGGTTTGAACATTGAGGGATTTACGGACCGTGATCCGCGTTGAGGCTACAAGAAGAAGAAGGTTATATAAAGGAAAAAGGAAGAAGCTTTTTTAGTTTTTTTTTTTATTGCAAGTTGTGATTGAGATGATGAGTGTGGGAAGAAGTGAAGTTGTTGATGATGTGTTCTTTGATTCATCCGATGTTTTGTCTGTTGGTGAACAAGTAGTAGTAGAAGAAGAAGAGTTTCGAGTTTGGTCTGGTGAGCCAGTTAGTGTTGAGGAGCGTCGTGCAATGTTTCTCAAGAGAATGGGTTTATTAGATGAGAGAATTGAGTCCATGAGTTTGGAGAGGGTGATAAGTGATTACAGCGGTGAGGTTACTAGTTCTTCTTCAGATTCATCTTTATGTGGTAATGAGTTGCAGTGTTGTGTTAGAGAGGAGAATTATGGATCAACCACTTCAATGTCTGATGAGGAACTAGAAGGAGAGGATGATGATTCAGAAGATATCTCAACCAATGCTTCTTCGAGTCCATCGCGTAGTTCCAGCAAGAAAAGCGCAAAGAAATGGTTGTTCAATTGCTTTGCAGGAGAGAAGGATAAAGATTTCAAATACAAATCGAGTGAAGCGACGATGAGCAAAGTGAAGGTGAAGACTAATAAGAAGAATCATGTAGAGTTATCTGCAACTTACATGGTACAAAAGATTGATGGACACAAGGGGAAAATTTGGGTATTGAAGTTTAGTCCTGACGGTAAATACTTAGCTACCGGAGGCGAAGATGGAGTTGTAAAGATATGGCGAATCACGCTATCGGATTCTCTACTCGCCTCTTTTATGCGACAACAAGAACCAATAAGCCAACAAGAAGCATTGGTTCTGTTTCCTCAAAAAGCTTTTCATATCGAAGAAACACCGTTTCAAGAACTCTATGGTCACACTGGAGATGTCTTGGATTTAGCATGGTCAGACTCAAATGTGAGTTTTACTTTGTTATTTTTATTCCTTCTTGTTTTCAAGATTTCTTGATCCATAACTCATGAATCAGTCTTTGGTGTTTTGGCTTTGCAGTTACTTCTTTCAGCTTCTAAGGACAATACAGTCCGGTTATGGAGAATTGGTTCTGATCAATGTCTCCATGTCTTCCATCATAACAACTACGGTAACTTGTTTTTTCCATCTCAAGTTGTTCTGAAATCTTTTGCAAAAACGTTTTTGTTTACTCACTGTTGTTACTTTTGTCTTTCCAATACAGTGACTTGTGTTCAGTTCAATCCTGTAAATAAGAACAACTTCATAAGTGGATCTATAGATGGGAAAGCTCGAATCTGGGGTTTATCAGAAGAAAGAGTCGTCGCTTGGACTGATGTTCATGATTCCATTTCTGCTATCTGTTACCAACCAAACGGAAATGTAAACTTCTCATTCAATGTCTCTTCTTTATTCAGAGATCATCTAAATTTCTAAACTTTGCTCTGTTTTGCTTCAGGGGTGCGTTGTTGGTTGCATCACTGGGACTTGTAGGTTCTATGAAATCTCAGGCAACGATGTGATCATGGATGAACAGATTCTTATCCGGGGACGGAACAGAATCACCGCCGTTGAGTTTTGTCCTGGAAGCTCCGAGAGAGTAATGGTATCTTCCGAGGATTCGAAAGTTCGAGTATTTGATAAAACTCAAATCTTTCACAAATTCAAAGGTAGAATCTTGAATCTTTTGAGTTCGTGTTCTTTACAGTTCTTGAATTCGTGTGTTTTGATTTTTGTTTTGAAACTTTAATATCTCAGCTCCGTCGAAATATGGGAGACAATCGTCGGCGTCGTTTGTTTCTTCCGCCGGAAAACATATTTTATCAGTCCGACAAGGTCACGGAATCTCTCTCTGGAACAACGATGACTTTCCGGCGAAGAAACGCGCCAAATCGTCGAGTTCTTTCGAGTATTTTCACTCTCCGGGTGTAACCGCGGCGGCGGCTTGGACTCCGCCGGTCAAAGAAGTAAGGAAAGCGGCCGGAGATGGGAACGAGTCAGGGAGAGCGCTGAGACAATTACAGAGCTCCGGGAGATTGTCTCGTGTTACAGCCACGTGGCCGGAGGAGAAGCTAATGATGAATGTAGGAATTTACGATAGTACCCTCGCCGTGGGAGAGTTTGATTTGGCGGAGGCGTGGAGACTGGTGATCGTGACGGCGAGCTTGGATGGGATGATTAGGACATTCCATAATTATGGATTTCCCCGTCGATTATAGATATGGATGTTAATTATTTTTGTTTTAAGTAGGAAAGATTGGAAATTATGTGAAATGATTTTTTTTTTGTTTTGTTTTTTTTAGTTACATGTAAAGGTGATATAGTTGATTAGTTTTTATGAAATAGAGTTTTCGTTTTTCACTTACAATTCTTACAATTTAAGCTCAATGCCAAATGATACCTCTTCAAATATGCTAAGAAAACTCTATTTCTTAGAAACAAAAAATATCAATATCACAATAAATTAATACCAACGACTATTGTAAAACTGTGAAAATTTATGTCATAATTTTTTTCCTAGATATATGAGCTCTTAAGAAAACATTAATCTTGCTAGACCAAGAAAAAAACTTATCTAAATCAAGATTCTTATGATTTACGTAATGCATAATTTTCTTTCATGAAAAACTGTCTTCAACAAAAGAATTCAAGTTAAGAAACTTGAGAATGCAATCAACGCAAGAGGTGATTAATTTTCAAAAGTGTCAACTGATTTTTTTGGGCAAAGAGTGCACATTAATTTAACTTAAGGAAATTATACTAATAACCATGTAGTAAATTCTCTATATATTAAAAGGGAAGTACAAAGGTGAATCAGTGAGGTTTATTAAAAAATTATACCTAATTAAACTAATAGGATCTTCCAAATATGATTTACGCTTCTTAAAATGTTGGTCATTTACTAAACAATTACTAAATAATTGGACTTTACTTTTGGGCATCGATGATTAATAGTGTAGTTTTCGACCAACCCTCTAAACCACCAAATAATGAATGTGTCTGTGTAGGTATTAATAACCCATTAACAATGATTTCATTATTTTTAGGAACATATCAATCAAAAAATCTTAACTAAAACATGACAATCACAGTGAAACATAGTAACAAATAATACTTCCAAAAATCACGCTAAACACATTTATTCTTAATTGTTTAGATTTTCCTTAACTTTATTCAATTTTCTAAAACTAAATTGATTCATATTCGTAACCCAATATACGAATTTCAATTCTAATATTCCCTTCTTTAAGCATAATATTTAAACCTAATCGATATCAAACCATACAACTATTATATAAGACACATAACATCAGCATAAGAAACTTACCTCTCTTCTCGTTATCTTTCACATTATAATATCCTTTCCTATGACCGAAATAATCCCTTTTATTCCTTTGGATGCCATCAAACCCTACAAAACAAGCTGAAGGATACAAGTCGTGCACTCTTGTAAACAATACACAAAATATATAGTTATTTGATTTTTTTTTATCAAAATCACCACATTAGTAAATGAATATTATTTGAAGTTAACACGGTAAATATATATTTATCGCAAACATAAATAGCATTTGAGGTTAACATAATAAATAAATAACACATTGATATCTATTTTATTATATCTGTAAATATTTTGTTTATAAGTAGAAAATTATTTTTGTCATAATTATATAAATTAAAGAGAGATAACTAATTATACAACACAAATATATATTCTTAATTTTTTAGTCTTTTGCGTATATAAATTAATATCGTCCAGACCATTTTACAATGGTTTCTCTCATTGTTAATGTTTTTTTCGTTTGTTTTTTTTTTCTTTTATTTTTTTTAATAGCAAAAACCAAAAACCGAAGGTAAGCCAAAACCGGAGCTAAACCAAAACTTAATTGCATTTATATCAGTTCCGGTTTTCTTTTTTTTTTTGAACAAAAATTCAGTTCCGGTTAAATATATAAAGTTCGTAACGAATTAATTTGGTTTGGTCCTCGTCGTTTTGGGTTAGTGTTGGTAGGTGGAGAATTTAGCCATTTGCATTTGCGCCTCCATTTGCATCAAAGGAAGAAGAAGACGACCACAAAGCCATCAAACCCAATTTATATGGCTTAACTCACCTACCCCCCACAAAATATTGCCACCAACTCCAATTTCTCTCCTTTAAACCTTTCTCAATCCTCGTTCTTTGTCTTTTGAAATCCTGATCATGGCTTCTTCTCTCACTTCCAAATCCATTCTCGGATCCACCAAACCCGGTTCTTCTTCTCTTCCGTCGGAGCTCCGTCGTCTCTCTTCTCCCGCCGTTCAGATCTCTATCCGTACCCAAACCAGGAAAAACTTCCGTGAGTTCATTCAATCTCTGATTACCTTCGAAAATTTTCTAGAGTTTATCTAAGAAAGATGAGTAATTTTGAATCTTTAGGGCAGTTCTGGTTGATTGAATTGATTCACATTTCCGTTAGAACAAAAAGGGGTGATGGAAAAGTTCAAAGCTTTATGAGTTTTTGATTCTGGTTTTTTTTTTTTTTAAATTGGCAGAGATACAAGCTACTGGAAGTTCATATGGGACTCACTTTAGAGTTTCCACGTTTGGAGAGTCACATGGAGGAGGAGTTGGTTGTATCATTGATGGATGTCCTCCGCGGATTCCTCTTACTGAATCTGATTTGCAATTTGATCTTGATAGGAGGTAGGTATCTTTGAGGAACAAAGCTCTTATTATATAACTTCAATAATATGATCCCTTGATGGGGTTTTTACATGTTGGTTTGGTTTATCAGGAGACCTGGTCAGAGCAGGATCACCACTCCTAGAAAAGAGACGGATACTTGCCGGATATCTTCTGGAGTCTCAGAAGGTCTAGTTTTAGCTCTTTTTTTTATTGTTTGAATTTGATTTAGTGTCTCAACCTTGTTCTGACTGTTAGCATATGTAAAATGCAGGAATGACGACAGGAACACCTATCCATGTGTTTGTGCCAAACACAGATCAGAGAGGACTTGTAAGTTTTCTGACATCTTTAGGCTTATACTGTAGGTGTATTCGGTTTTCTTAAATAGATGTTTGTTATTGGCATTAGAGAAAAGCCGAATCGAATAGAAGCTTGGAGGTTTTATGTAGGCTCTAACCTTTGATAGTCTCTCTGCATGTTCAGGATTACAGTGAAATGTCAGTTGCCTATAGACCATCGCATGCTGATGCAACTTATGACATGAAGTATGGTGTCAGATCTGTGCAGGTATCTTTTGTCTATCTTGTTTATATTCTACTTTTCTTGTTAAGGTTTTATCTAGTTCAAAGCTATTGTGCGGCTTAACTTACCTTAAAGCGTGATTCTTTTCAAGGGTGGAGGGAGATCTTCAGCTAGAGAGACCATTGGAAGAGTTGCTCCTGGAGCTTTGGCCAAGAAAATTTTGAAGCAATTTGCAGGAACTGAGGTGTGTTTTCTTTCTGAGTTTGCAAATGGCATTGTTCTCAAAGAATCAATTGTACTCTTTATATCCTTTTTGACCTTTTGTTTGTTCTTTCTCACCTCTGTTCATTATCTTAGTAGTGCAATGAGGATATGTCCCTAAGTAAAAAACTAATTGATCATTTTCTGCAAATGCATGCAACTCTTTCATATCTGCTTATGGACTTGCTTATGTTTTTTTTTTGGTCTCCAGATTCTTGCTTATGTCTCTCAAGTCCACCAAGTTGTACTTCCAGAAGATTTGGTAGACCACGAGAATTTGACACTCGAACAGGTGCGGGTCCTTCTTGGAAGTATAACGTACATTTAATTTTGTGATTACAATTCATACTAGAACCAGGGGAAACCCCATTTTAGTGATTTGGTTCATGCTGTGAATTTTCTGTACCTTTCATCCACCACGACAATCATTTCCCTAATTACCTTTCTGTTGCCACTTTGGTTCTTCTAGTAATATTCTGACCTAATTTTGTTTGTTTTCAGATAGAAAATAACATTGTTAGATGCCCTAATCCTGAATATGCGGAAAAGATGATAGCTGCGATTGATGCTGTCAGGACAAAAGGAAACTCTGTTGGTGGTGTTGTGACCTGCATTGTGCGGAATGCACCACGTGTACGCACTCACTTTACCATGAGCTTAATCTGTATCCCCTACTGTAATATGATTGCATGAACTTCAGCGAATGATTATTTAAAATACTATATGCAGGGGCTTGGTACACCGGTTTTTGATAAACTTGAAGCAGAACTGGCAAAAGCTTGTATGTCATTACCTGCAACAAAGGGATTTGAGTTTGGAAGTGGCTTTGCAGGTATAGAAAGTTATATTTTGCGCTTCTTTGACCAATCTATAACAATTCCTCTGAACAGTATGCGATGAACCCGCAGGAACCTTTTTGACTGGTCTTGAACACAATGATGAGTTCTATACCGATGGAAATGGAAGAATACGTACAAGAACAAACCGATCTGGTGGAATTCAGGTTGGTTAAGTTTTGAATATAATATGTCATTAAACTAGTTTTCTCCTGAGAGATTCCTAATATTGGTCAATTTGCATAGGGAGGGATCTCTAATGGTGAAATAATAAACATGAGAGTAGCCTTCAAGCCAACATCAACAATAGGAGTAAGTTTATGATAAAACTCATGCAGTTTCCATGTGAACATAACAAATGTCAGCTTGAGATCAACGATCAACACATTAATGTTTTATTTCCAACTCGCAGAGGAAGCAGAATACGGTAACCAGAGACAAGGTGGAAACCGAAATGATTGCGCGTGGCCGTCATGATCCTTGTGTTGTTCCACGAGGTGATTATATACGCCAAATCCCAAACTATTGAACTAATTCACTTTATCACTCTGGATTTTGATTTTGGTTGTGGGTTTTTTGTTGCAGCTGTGCCAATGGTGGAAGCAATGGTGGCTTTAGTTCTTGTGGATCAGTTGATGGCGCAATACGCACAATGCCATTTGTTTCCAATAAACCCAGAGTTGCAGGAACCTCTCCAGACAGAGCAGCCGCAAAATGCTGCTGCTTTGTAACAAAACCTCGAGAAGATATGAGTCAGAGACAGAGTGAGGCTTCGCTTTTGTTGTGTGATTATATAATGAATAAAGAAAATGTTTAATTTTGTGCCCAACCATTATTTTTTTTGTAAGATGATTGACTTCTGTATTCCACCTGCGTTTTAATTCGGTTAAAATGTGATTTTACGACGGAACGTATACTATATTCTATATAATCGTTTTGGTATAAAACAAACACTTAACTACAACATTCTCTTGATAAACGTAAGTATACAAACATACGTAATTAATTACACCTTAATGGCTTCCCTAATGATTATTGAAGGCTGCTTTACAGATTTAGACGCTTCTTGTTTGAAATATCCTGTAGAACTAATGGCTCCTCTAATGAACATTAATTCTCTATCTCCTCGGTTTCTTCATCGAAAGAACTTTGCTTTCCAAGAAACCATTTAAGTGAACTCTCTTTAACCTTCTAGTACATCCATAGTTCTGCTAAACATACTTAGATATCTTCACCCAGTTTTCAAACACATTAAGCAAAAAAACCCTAAATTAAGCCTCTCCGACTAAGTTGGTTCTGATCATCATCCTTCATTGATCAAAATCTATACTTTATTAGAAGTTTCAACACAGAGGTTACTCAGCTAAAACCAAGACATGACATATCTGAATCATTTGTGTATCTGACTAAATTTGTGAACATTCCCCAAATTTACAAAGGGGTAGATGTTTTCTCTATTTACCAATAAAAAATTTGAGGGGTTTTGAGCTCTTGTTCGTTCAAGATAATAAGATTAAGCAAGACCAACACTTTTTGTCTAAAATTAATTTCATAAAAACCAAGAGATCATGTTAGCAGAAGAAAGCATTCGGTTTTCATGTTAAATTCTAAAGAAAAGAAAATAAAAAGCAAATCCAAATCTTGGAAAGTTAAAACACATCTAAGAAAGACGACTAAAGACTAAGTTTTCCTAAACACAGATCACTCGAACGCCCACTTGTTCTCATTGCGAACCTCTGCTTCTTCCTCAGGACTGTAATCGTTCTTGATGTTGAAGTGTGCACGCATCTCCTCAGGAGTTTTTCCTTTCATCTGATCAGCAACGGCCTTGCAGGTTAGGTCAAGAAGTCCACTGATGTTCAGATAGTTAGCAGCCTGAAAACCAAAGAAAGAATCCAAACCAACATTAGACCAAACAAAACCCTAACAAAATCCCCAAATCAAAAACCCTAATCGAAAACCAAAAAAACAGAGGAGAAAAAAGTCGACAAACCAAGATGAGATCGAAGAGTGTATTCTGATCAACTTTAACGAATTCGGTATCCCATGCCTTAAGCTCATCGTTCTCGGTGGAACCGCAAAAATCCTTGTCGCCGCCGTCATCAGCGGCGGCCTCAGCGTGCTTCTTACAGTACTCAATAACCTTAGCGAGGATAGTTCCGGTGACGTTAGGAAGCGGAATCCCGTTACCGGTACAGTCGTCCTCGATCATGTGTTTGATCGTCTGGGACTCAACCGCAACGACTTCGTCGACCTCGAAGGATTCACCGTCGGAGCTCTTGAGGATGATCTTTTTCGCAGCAGCCATGGTAGCAACAAAGAAAAGAAAAGATTTGCAGAGAAGAAGAATAGGTTTTTGATTAAAGATGGGGAGTCACACGAGGTTTTGGGAATTGGGGTTTGTTCCTTCCCCTATTTATACATCTCACCAATTCCTTTTTCTTGTTGGGCTATTAACGTTTGTTTATTGTTTTTTCTTTTCTTTTCCTTTTTAAAGTATATCTGCTCCTTTTGATTAATGGAAAAGTTAAATAAATATTGGAATATTATATTTTTTTACATTTTCAGAAAAATAGACCTTTCCATATCCTAATGATTGTAAAAAAGAAAAAAAAGATTTTCAGTATCTCCTTATGCATACAGTTTGTGTACGTGTAAGAATCATTAACTAGGGTTTTTTTTGTTCTTGTAAAATCAAGGGAAATCTAGGTGATATTATGAGCCTTTTATATAATAGGGGAGTTTTCCAATGAATTTAAAGGAAAATAGTATAAACATGGGAATCGGAATCATTGGTTTTGCCGTTGTAAACTATGCAAATTTATTTGTTTCGTTTTTTATCTACAACAAAAACAAAAACCAATATACATGTTTTAACTCGTGGTATAATTTAAAAAATATATATTTTAAATTAACCCATAAAAATATTTTAATATAAATAACCCGTACAAAATATAATCATATTAATGTAAACACAAACTCATTCAATTATATTTATGCATAATATTATTATATTAAATTTTTATAGAGTTAAAATATTAATAATACTTAAAAAAAAATTTTAGAGGATTAAATATTTTTAATATTTTCAAATTTTATAAAGGTTAAATTAAATATTATAATATTCGAATCTCTTAGGGGGGGTTATTGGGAGTATGATTTTAAAAGAGTTTATGGATTTTTAAAGTTTAGAGATTTTAAGATTCTCAAAAAATTTTGTAGATTCTAAAATAATGTTTAACCAGATTTCTAGAGTTTAATAGATTCTTCAAATGATAGATTCCACAAATACTTATGATAATTGCAGTATTTTGAAAGTTGTTTTTAATGACTAAATATGTAAGGAATCATTAAACCAATAACACTAGAATTTGATAGGATTGGGAAATCAATAAATACTCAACTTTTTGAATAACAAAGGATTTTAAATAGAATTACAAAATACATACACCAATAACAAGAGATTTTATTAGGAATCTAAGAATACATAAACCAATAACAATGGAATCTTAAACTCTAAAAATCTTTAAAAATCATTCTACCAATAACTCCCCCTTAAAGATTTCATATTTATAATACTTTAAACGTTTAAAAAAATTAAATTTATAATATTTTGAAACTTTTTAAAAGTATTTTTTTTAAACCAAATTAAACTGAATAAATTTTCTAATTTGGATGCCTAAAAAATCAAACTTTCTGCTAATTTGTAGTGGGAGCACTTTTGTCCTATTTATAATGGTTATGAATTATTGTCTAAAATTTTCAACCTTATGTAGACGTTATATATACATTTTTCCTTTATCGATTGAGTAATATATGATTATACGTATTTAAATTGCAAAATATGCAGAAAAATTTGTATTTTTATTATACATAAGTTTTATAAAATAATATAAAATAAAAACAAATAAGATTATATAAATATATATTAGAGAGAGAATCGATTTATTAGAGAAAAATTCTATTAAAAAATTGTTGTAATAAATATTTGTTTCTAATTTTTCGATTTGCTTGTGATTTAATTAAAAATTTTACTTTAAAGTTTTGTAATTTATTCAAATGGCAAAAGTATAATCATGCAAATAGTACAAAATAAAATGTTATAATTCAAAATAGATTTTAGTACAAAATGTATATACAGTTAATTAGCGTGCACTTGTTAATCAGTCTCTAATTTAATTATCAAAGTAAATTTATAGGTTTCCAAGTCTCTTTGATTTATTTTGATTTTACAAATTTTGGAAAAATATTTAGTTTTTCCAAATCTAACATTTTATCCAAATTTTATTTTATCATCTATTATAGAATATAATATTTTTGTATTATGTAAATATATAATATACTTGATCCAGTTTTACGATTTAAACATATCTTTTGTCATTTGTTATGTTTGTTTACATATATGATATTATTTTCTAATATAAATTATAATATATTTTGATTAGTTATCACTATACAATATATATTTAAAGCGTTCGAACTGATTGATCCGCATTTAATACCGTAAATCTGCTTGATATGTTTTTATTCAATAGCTGACCAAGAAATGAGTTATACATGACGTAGACGGCCATCAGAAAGATTTTCAGTATCCTACTAATGATGGTAAAAACGAATTAAAAAAAAAAAAGATTCTCAGTATCTGCTATATGTTCATACGAAATAATCATATTATTGGTAGCAAAATAATATGAAAAAAAACAAAACTATATCCACAAAAAAAAGTAATAAAGAAATTTTTTTGTATAAGTTAATGAAGGTAGTTTTCCAAGCAATGAACAGATCAGTGTATGCTTGAATACGTGATGCCAAAGATGGTTATCAGCAGAAATCAGAATCACAACATTGGCTATAATCTTGAGATGGATCTCCAACTTGTGCGTTATGTATTTTGAAAGTCATTTACCTCATCTTGTACCACCACCACCACATTCTATATAGTTTAACCACATCTTTTTCAATTGTTACACCCTCCAGAAGAATGTGGAGATTGAAGTATATAATTTGGTTATATTTCATGTTATGTAGTTTGATTACGTTAGAGCTACCGTATCATTTTACTTCATCATCGCAGCAATGTGCAGGCTACAATTAAGATAAGTCTTATAGATAATCATTATCTTGACGGCAAACAAACAAAATATCATCATTATATAAACAGCTAGCTAGACCCGAAAATAGCTATATACCATCAATCAACGAACTGATTGATTTGGATTTTGATGTTCGAACCACGTCAACAGTGATGAAACCAAACACTTTACTACATCATTCTCCTGATACATGTAAGTATACAAACATACGTAATTAATTACACCTTAATGGCTTCCCTAATGAACTGTCTTCTTCCATTTTACTTGGTTTTCTTGTTATCGTCTTTGCTCTGTTCAAGAACGACCGGAGCAGCTGGAATGCTAAACCACCACTCTTTTAGCCGCCGCATCAACCGTTCTGTGCTTGCTCTACGCGGTGGTGAGTATCTTGTGAACAGCTCAAGAAACACCAACATAATCAAATTGTTCCAAGGCACCAATGCTATCATCATTGCAGCCACGAACACCGCAACCGCAAATTTCTCACTCGCCTGTCAAGTTTTTTTAATTTCAATTAATGCGGTTGCAAGAACTTTAGAAACCACGTTTTGGCGAACGCTTAAATGAGAGAGAGAGACCTGTGGAAAAAGAGAGAGTAACAAAGCTCGGAACTTGAGGAGAACAATGTTTGCGTCTTGGATTAACTGTTCGAGCTGTGAAATCGCATTTTGGACCGCTAAAAGCTGTTCCATTGTGTTCATAGGAGGTGGCGCGATAACTTTCAGCTCAATCATTGCTTTATCTCTATTGCTGAAATATCTCGTGAGAACCATGAAACCGGCTATAAAGAAAGACACAATCGCGAAAACATAGCCAATCCACCCCCTGAACAACAAAAACGATTATACTCCGGATGAAAAATAAAAGATTTCAGAGAATTCTAGCTATAATGCATAAAAGTATGTCACCTGTAAATTATGAACGTGGAGAAGAGACAGAAAAAAAAAGACTTCAATGGATCCTCCCAATACACTATCGACAAAAGGTAATTCCCGATTTCTATAACCGGAAGTAACAGTTCCTGCAAAATACGCAGTCTGTAAAGTCTATTGCATGAAATGATAGAATTGTTGTGTCTATTCTTTTACCTTCATCACTGCTACATTGGTGTCAATTCCATCAACTTTAACTCCATTAACCGTCTCTTGCGCAAGAACCACTTTCTCGTAGTTTTTTCTTGATTGCTTAACCGCTTTCTCCAATGGATTCACATCTCCAACCATCACCCCACCTACCACAAGACTACCTTTACTCTTTGGACTTGTTGCTCCAAACACCAAACCTAACTGTGAGACCATATCCGAGGCTGAGATTGACTGCAATGTCCCTGTACAAAGAATTTTTATATCAACACAGACTTTGGTAACACCAGCAAAATAAAATACAATTTGCATAAAGTAATGTTACCTTCTTTGGCTTTGTTTGTCCGGTCAAGCACTTTGGTACTAGACATCTCTGCAAGGGTCTCTAATATACGATCTCCACCAGGAAGCTGATCACAGAGATTGAATGGGAGAAGATTCTCGTAGCGCACAGGGTTTGTTAAACCGAGTTCTTGAATGGCTTGCACGCGTAAAATGCCCAGCACAGCTTTTGAGATAGCTTCATCTTTCGCCACACTCATGTTGATCTTGTACTTATTTATGTATCTGTGAACATATAACACCTCTAGGATTATTGCGAGCCAGTAATCTCTTCGTGTGTGGCCCTTGAGCTCGGGGAACTCCATTACTACTGGTTCTGGTCTACAAAACAAGAGACATTAAAATATGTAACTGAATCAGTCAGATAAGAACTGAATGCAAAACAAAGTTTTTAACTGAGGTACTAAAATCATTCCTTACAGGGAAATAGACTTGTAAGACACAGCCTTATCAAAAAGCCGAGTGCCCCAAGGACCCGTTAACTCTGGTTTAATGACTTGTTTCAGATCTTCAGATAGGCTATAACGCTTTGGTGTATCGAAAGACACAACCTTTATAGCCTCAAAATACAGTGAATGATCAGTCAGAATCAAGCGACCTGCATATCAATACTCAATTCAATCAACTGAATAAAAGAGGAAATTACAGATTTTTCACACCTTGTTTGCGCAGAGAAAAGTATACCGGGCCATGTAGATGACCCTATATGTTCAAGAACTGGTTGGGTAGTAACTGTTCCATCAATCTCAAGAATCTTTTCTCCTTTTGATCGAACACCAGATAGCAACGATGACTCAGACTGGCTCTTCATTTTCTTAATTGCTCTAGAAAGTGATTCCGGATTCAGATTTCACAAAATTTTCTGAAGAATGTTTCTATGAAAATTGGAAATAGAAGGAATATTTTATTTACCTTTCAAGTCCATACAAATACTTGTCATAAACATAGAACTGAAGCCGAACACTGTTCGAGGCAGAAGTCAGCATCGCGAACAAATTCTCACATATGATCACATCAGCTATTATAGGAATTGCTGGAGCAATCCGGGAGAAGGCTTCTAAACCAACAGTTGGATCTTCATCAACCTGCTTCCATGTTTGCAAAATAAGAGGACTAATTCTTGACTCAATGGACCAAAGAGGCCGAAACCAAAAGTGCTTACACTGAGTAATGCCTGACAAGCAGCGGAAGGGACCTCCCAAGCAACCATCATATCATAAGTTAAACGTCGAAAGTCTTTATCACTTAGATGACCAGTTACTCCCACAGAGAGTGCAAGTGCCCTGAAACAGCAGTACTCTAGAAAGTTTCTTGGAAACATTGACGGCTGCTTCACAGATTCAGACGCCTCTTGTTTGAAACTATCCTGTAGCTCACTAACTGAAACACCAAGTATCCTGCATCAAATGTTTCCCATTACTGTATAGAAATCCTCCAAATTCAACACCCAAATCCATTTCCACAACAAAAGAGTACCCTTAACATATAAAAACTAGCTTATCTTGATCAAGAGGACAAAACCCTTTACCAAAGATGAGTGATTCTTACTTGGAACATCTGCGAATAACCACATTTGCTACTGGGGATAGCTCAGGTAACCAATTGGCTCCAGCAGATGGAGAATTTTCTATCTCCTCGATATCTTCATCAAAAGAACTTTGCTTCCCAAGTAACCATTTAAGTGAACTATCTTTAACCAGACCTTCTAGCACATCCATAGTTCTGCTCGACATGCTTAGATATCTTCACCTGTTATAATCATTTCAAACAAATTAAGCAAAAAAAAAAAACCTAAATTAAGCCTCTCCGACTAAGTTGTTTCTGATCATCATCCTTCATTGATCAAAATCTAAACTTTATTAGAAGTTTCAACACAGAGGTTGCTCAGCTAAAACGAAGACACGACATATCTGAATCATTTGTGTATCTGACTAATTTGTGAACATTTTAACAAATTTACAGAGGAGTAGATGTTTTCTCAACTAACCCACAACTAACTTCACAAATTTAGTTTCTTCTCCTACAACACTGTAAACGCTTTGTTTCCTCTAATTACCAATAAAAAATTGAGGGGTTTTGAGCTCTTGTTCTTTCCAGATTCTGACGTGATTTGGGGTTTATCGAAAAAGCGACAGAACAAGGAAAAGCGGAGAAAGTGAGACGGTAAGCTTCGCCGGTGTCGGCGTCTTGTCCAGGAAATGATAAGATATGACCAGTACCACGTCGGCAAGACGTGGCTTTATTAGCATTATTCCACGTCAGCTACATTGAACGGCTCAGATTTGATCAAACGGCTTCCATTACTTACAACCGCACCCCTACACGTGTTAAGTTAATAATTTGTGACCGTTAGATCAAACCTTTATAAACTCTCTTTATTCTCCTCCTCGAGCTCTAGGTGTTTTTTTTTGTTTTCTTTTCCAGATTAGCTTCAGTGTCCTTTGTCTTCTGCCTCAGGTGCGTTTCGTTATGACGAAATTTTGTTCTGTTGTTTTCTATTTGATCGTGATTTTCAGAGATGCGTTTCTTTGTTTTCCCTTGATTTGTTGTGTTTTCGCCGTTAAATGTCATGTTTACATGTCGCATTGATCGGTAACATGAGTGATACAGAACATAAACTCTGAATTTTGCAGTAAAGTCCTTTCTTTTAGATTCCGAGATTTTTCTTGTTTGTGATCAGATTTTTCAAGTGTTATGTTAGAGACTTAAAAAGGGACTTGAAATGTTACTGTTTCTCAGTGCTTTGGTTAAGGTTTTGGGAGGTTGTATTTGAGTGAAAAGATGTTTTCAGCTCAGCATAAGATTCATAAGGACAAGGGTGTGGAACTTTCTGAGTTAGATGAGCAAGTTGCTCACGTTTGAATAATTATTCTTGTATATTGATTAAGGTTTCTTTCACTTAGAATTGGTGAAAGTTTCAGTTTTTTCTGATATCTATGTTAATTTTCTTAGGCTTTCTTTGATTTGGAGAACACCAACCAAGAACTGAAAAGTGAGTTGAAGGATTTGTACGTCAACTCGGCACTGTGAGTGAATTAGTTTGTCTACATTGTGTTATATAACCAAAAGAAACTGAAAGTTCAATCTTTTTTTTTGTAGTCAAGTTGATATAACTGGAGGACGCAAGGCAATTGTTATCAATGTTCCTTTCAGATTGAGAAAAGCTTACAGGAAAATCCATGTTAGGCTTGTTCGTGAACTTGAGAAGAAGTTCAGCGGAAAGGTGATCTTCTTGCCTGTTCTTCTTCTTCCTATAAGTGAACTATTAGGTTTCTCGATTTGCATCTGTTTTATTGAATGGTTGAGGCAACTTAACTTGTCTTAAGAGTTAAGTATGGAGTTTTGTTCTCTTAGGTTATATTGTGAAATGAAGCTTTCTATCATGTTTCAATTACTGGTTTTAGAGTACTGGTTATCTTCTTGATGTTATCTTTGTCTCTCTTCCTTATGCTTAGGATGTAATCCTCATTGCTACAAGGAGGATTGTCAGGCCACCTAAGAAGGGCTCAGCGGCAAAAAGACCACGCAACCGTACTCTGACCTCAGTTCATGAAGCCATTCTTGATGATGTTGTCTTACCTGCTGAGATTGTTGGGAAGCGTACTAGGTATAGACTCGATGGTACCAAAATCATGAAGGTATGTAGAATCCAAAGGTCAATATTATCCACGAAGATGCTGTTAGCACTCTGTTAATCTGATAAACGGAATTTTTGTGTGTTTGAAGGTCTTCTTGGAGCCAAAGGAAAGGAACAACACTGAATACAAGCTTGAGGCTTTCTCTGCGGTTTACAAGAAGCTCACTGGTAAAGATGTCGTTTTTGAGTTTCTCATAACTGAGGCCTAAGAGGTGAAATGAAACTTAGGGAAATCTGTTGTGATCTCAGATATATAAGTCCTCCTTTTGCTTTACTTTCTATCTGTCATGACATTGATTTTACTTCTGAAAATGTGTACACTCGTTGAATTTTCTAGGTAATTTTGTGTTTGATGGGCAAAGAACGACAAGTTATAGCTTGTCCTTGGTGATTTTATGTTATAACTAATTTGTCTTGAGGGTTGAATCTGTCTAGCATCTGTACAATGCTTCTCTGGCATCTTCTTCGTGGAGACCTTAAAACGATAGACTTTGCAGAATATCAGTCTCTTGCACTGTAATGGCTCCTTTTGTCAGTCTAGTTGTTCTTCAGCAAATGGGTTATTTACTTATTATTGCCATGCTCCTCTTGATAGACAGAGGGTTCACGACGTTAGCTGGACCAGGGTTGTTCTTTCAGACATATTGCCGCACTCACATATTTTTTGGCATAGCAAGCAGTGTTTGGAGGAGATGAACTCGTTCTTTGGTTGTAGACTTGTGTTTCGTTGACTTGTTTGGATGAGCATTGTTTTTTTTTCGAAGAATGCTCAGACTTATGGGAAACAAAAAGTAAAAACCTTCCAAGAAAGAACAAGCAGTATAACCATAAAAAGATCACAAGCAAGCAAGTTTAATGCACCAAATTCCTCAAAGATCAATGTACATAGACTTGATGTAGTTCTTGAGATGATCACCAGGACGGGTAAATTCATCATCCTTTTCGTAGCTAACATTCGCCGCACGTGCAGTGTCGATAATGACTACCTTTAGAACTTCGCGTGGCACGTTGATTGTCTTCAAGAACTCTTCATTCATTATCTTATCAAGGTATGCAACCAGTTGACGAAGCTTTCTAATGGCTTCTTCTTCCGTAACTCCATATTGTTTCTTATAACAGTTGATCGAGTTCGTGACATATCCTCTGCTCATGTCATCCTAATCATATGTCAAGGGTTAAGCTTTGAATATCAGATATGTACATGTGATTAAGTAAACCTGGGAATAATAATATTTATGATCTACCTCAAAGCCAAGCATATCATTCACCACTCGTGTTTTTGTAATTAATGCTCTAACGAGTTTGTCTCTAGCTTTCAACCACTCGTGAGCTTCTTTCTTGCAGATACTTTCCATACCCATCAGAATACCTGCCAAGGTAAAATATATAGCGATCTCGACTCCGGCAACATCTAGGTACTCATCAAAGCTAGGCAAGTGACCCTTTCTTGCCCATTGCGCGAGTTTAAGGTTGTTTCTCATCACCCTCTTGCACTGCCATGGCTCAAAAGTTGTAAACAACATTTACCATGTTCTCCAGAAACCATTTTTGGACTGGTTATATTCTAGTTCTCAAAACGTTTAATAAATTATATTGTATAGTGTGATTGCTCACCTCGTCAATTGTAGCTTTCAAGATGTAAGATCCTCCTAATTCTGATCCCACTTCTCTTTCAAACTCTTGGAATGTATCAAATATAAATTTAACCACATATTTCAAATAATCTGCTTGTCCATCCATGGCATAATCATCAGGATCCCACCTGTATGCATTATCAATATATATGTAGTCATCATCATTATTTATAGGGCTTTGAAAATGAGAGTATAGATTATAATGAAAAGATGGTATACCTTTCGATGGTATCTGCGAGGCTTTCAACCTCACAAAGAGAAGCATATCTGTCACATGTATCATCTATAATGATCTGAAGCGTATAAATCTTACTCAAAAAAATCCTCACGCGCGAGTATTTTGGTTCGAAGTATGTTAGCGTGACGAGGTGTACTTCCACGATTCTGTCTCTGAAGTAAGGTGACAACTTAGATTCCAAGTCTTGTTCCTTGTACCATCTGCCATACAAAACATTAGAGTTATGTATGTGTCTCAAAACCTGACAAAGCTAGATATAGTAATTACTGAGGAGATTATATATACTTTGAAAGGATTTGGAGTTCTTGAAGGTAAAGAAGCTGTAGGAATTTGAAATTGAGCTTGGCAAAGTTGAGTAGCGTCTTGTCGCAGTCTTGTTCTTGTTCGTAGAAGTGGATATATTCCATTGCGACAAAGATCTCCATGTTCTTGTGCTGCGGTTGATCCAAAGCCTTTAGTATACGCCTTGAGAGGTTACGCTTGCATGACCCGTTTGCAGCAGCTGACGAGAACTCCTCCAAGTGACTCTTAGCAAAGCTCATGGCTTCATCCAATATATAATCTGTTGTCGTCCCCATGTGAGCAGCTTCATACAAGCTCAAGATACCCTTAGGATCTCTGGCAAGACATTCCTTGAATTTCCCATTGTCCCCTTTGAATTTCTTAAATACATCTATATATACAATTAAACAAAATGAATAACCTTTATACCGACGAATATGAATCAAATAATAACAAACGACACATGTACGTAAAGAACGTCGATCATGATCATAAGCATGACAGTCTCATGTTATCTGTAGAATTGTAGATCCTATCCACATTTTTCGTTAAACGTACTTTTGAAGTTTGATATGCGTTGCTTCATTTTTAAATAAATATATCGTTGATGTTTCATATCAAATGTTGTTTTCTCTTCCTTTTTTTCTTTTTTTTTTTCCTTTCAATAATTTTACTTATTTTTAATTGAGCACTCAAAAGTATTTTTTTTAAAAGTACAATTAAAATTTGGTTCTCTAGTTTGTTCAAAAAACTTTTGGTTCAAAAATACAGGTTTTCCATAATTCAAATCTTAAGCTTCAAAACTAAAATATTCTAAATTCTAAACAGTAAACCATACCTCTAAATTATACCATAAAATTAATATATTTAATCATACCAAAAAATTGTGGTGGTATTTTGAAATACGATTGAAAATAGGTACTTTTTATAAAAATTTCCAATAATAAATAACTTATATACAGTATTCATTTCCTTGTTGCTATTGAGACTGTTTGATGAAAAACCTTATTAAGAGGATATGTTATGTAATTACCATAGTCTTATGTAATTACATAGTATACTAAACCAGGTTTTGACAAACCTAGCTAACGAGAATCCTTAAATTACCAGAAGAAATGTTGTGACCATATGTCCTGAAAACCAAGAAGACTATGGAAACTGTGTACAAGTCATCTTCACCACTCATCATGTCCTCTTCCTCCATCTTTCGGAAACCATCTCTGAGAGCTTCCTCGATCTCATCCTCGAAATGATACGCGAGACCAAGGCTCACAAGCAAATATATGAACATAATATTCTTCTTGGTCGACTTAATCCCCTCGGAAGATAACATGAACATGTCCCTTACTTTTGGCTTTAGTGTCTCTATTTCTATCCTAAGCGCATCCATTTCCTTACCAAAATATATATATAAAGCAATGGATGTTAATTTAAACACGACTTCATCATATTCATGTCCTCTATATATATGAGACTTACCGAGAGATCAACATGAGCTGAGAGGAACTGATGACCCCATTCAGAAGGGGCTAACTTTTCGAAGTTGCGATTATATTCTTCCTCGCCTTCACAAGCCAGAGGATGAGTAGTCTTTGAGGCCTTCAAAGGAACAAGACCATGTGCATGCTTAATGGGATATGACGTTTTCAGCCGGAAGCTAGAGAGTTTGCATGCTGTAAATGCGTTGGTCTGAGAACAAATAGAGAGCCTAGATCCAAGTTTTGGTCGACCAAAAACTCCTGTGGCTTCCATGTTTTCACCACCAATGATATGGGAGTCCAGGTTTAACACCATGCACCAAATTTATATAGGCACTGCAAGCCGCACAATGCTTCACCGACAATGACGCGCGTTATATTTTATTTTCCTTTTGGTTGGTATGGTAGATATGCAAATTATAATAGTCATTATTACTTCATTTTCAGTACGTATGGACATTTATTTCATTTTCAGTATTGCACACATATCAAGGAGGTTGAGAACCTTCACCTTATTGTTAAATTGATACGTGTACATATATTTTCTTCAGACTTCAATTTCACTTGGTTTAGTGGTAAAGGGATCGGTAAGTTTCACCACCTTAGGGCAAGTGCATCGTCGTCAGTAGCCAGTGTTCCACATCAATTTTTTCCCAAAAAAAAAAAAAAAAAAAAAATGAAGGAAAAATCGGACGGTCATGCGTCTTCCTTTACTATTCACCGGCCCCACTAACACGTGGTTCCCTATGATTGGTTATCTTTTTGTTTACTTTTTATTTTTTCTAAAATCTAAAAATTAAAAAACATGAAAACTCTTTTGTGGGACGAATAACCGTTGCACATTGTCTTAGTTCGAGTAGCATTGGCCATGGGAGTTTGAATAGTTTTTCTCAACCCCAGAAAATTAATTCTAGCCTTTGAAATCATTCATGAAGAAAATATTGCCTTAAAGAATTGTGTTCTTGTGTTCACAATAGCCAAGCTATCCCCCACCTCTTATTTTCAAGATCATCGACAAGGCGCCACCGTCGTAAATTCAGAAACCTTATGCGTCTTTGGATATAGTAAGGATCGTTTTTGTCTTTGAATCTTTTGCTTCCTTGCTTTTTTTTTCTCCAAGAAACCAATCTTTTTTGGTATTCACAGTGTAAATCCAAACTTTCTTCTTCATTTTATATGATATTTACTAGTTTAGCATACAAAAAATATAATTCAAGTTCAAGGTGGATTGATCACAAACAATGAAAGCAAATGTATGTTTTATACAAATATGAGTATGACGAAACGATAACAGGAGTGAAATGCTGAGATCTTTGTATACTTGTTACTTGTTAGCAAAGCCTCTACAAATCCGTAGAATTCTTGAGAAACGCTTGGAGTTCGCGAAGCATTTACAAATCCGTGGTTCAAGTCTTTTTGTATCTTGTTTTTAGTTTTTTCTTGGTTTTGTTTTAAATAAGTTCAAATCAAAGTCTCATCACTCGACATTAGAAGACAGATCAAGTTACAAAGGCACAACGTACGTGAACCCATAAGAAAAGGAAAGCAATACATGTAAAAGTCTAAAAATAAAACCCAAAACCTTTAAAAAGGAAAGCGCGCAACACAAAACGACATTTTCGAAGGGCAAAGTACACGCAGTTGCTAACTGAACAAGTAGTAAATTTCATGCAACATATATAGACGTGATATATTTCTTGAGATTTCCATTAAGACGAGTAAACCCATCTTCTTTGTCGTAGCAAACATTCACGGCACGTAAAGTGTCGATGACTACCTTTAGAACCTTGTATGGCACATTGATTGGCTTCAAAAACTCCTCATTCATCATCTTATCATTGTCTGCAACCATTTGATGAAGCTTTCTAAAAGCTTCTTCTTCGGTAACTCCATATTGCTTCTTGTAACAATTGATCGAGTTTGTGAGATATCCTCTTCTCATGTCATCCTAATCATATCACATGTTAAGTATATATGCTAATGAATTAATTTAACAACATATGATTATCAAAAAAACTAAATTAAAGTGTAGAAATAGTTTCCCGACCTTATAGCCAAACATATCATTTACCACACGTGCTTTTGTAGACATTGCTCTAACGAGTTTGTCTCTAGATATTAACCACTCATAAGCTTCTTCCTTGTTGATATTGTCCATAGCCAACAAAATACCTGCCAAGGTAAAATAAATAGCAATCTCGACTCCAGCGACATCTAGGTACTCATCTAAGCTAGGCAAGTGACCCGTTCTTGCCCATTTTGCGAGTTCAAGGTTGCTTCTCATCATTCTCTTGCACTGCAATGGCCGCGAAAAAAGTGTAAAAATATGTTACAACTACAGTTACTACGTTCTCCAAAAAATTTTCAAGATTTGTTATTGAAACATTTTATTTGCTCACGTCTTCTATTGTAGCTTTCAAGCTATAAGATCCTCCTAATTCTGACCCTACTTCTCTTTCAAACTCTTGGAAGGTAGCAAATATAAATTTAGCTACAGATTTCAAAAAATCTGGTAGTCCATCCATGGCATGATCATCAGGATTCCACCTACAAAATATTATCAATATATAAAGTCATGTAATTTTCGAATGCGGACTCAAGATACTTTGTTAAGATAGTGTACCTTTCGATGATTGCAGCGAGGCTTTCGACCTCACGAAGAGAAGCGTATCTATCACATGTGTCGTCCATAATTATTTGAATCGTATAAATTTTAGACAGAATAATCCTCACACGTGAGTATTTTGGCTCGATGTATGCTAGTGTAGCGAGGTGCAGTTCCACGATCCTCTCTCTGAAGTAAGGTGGCAACTTAGATTCAAAGTCTTGTCCCTTGTACCATCTTGCATCCAAATTAAACGTTACAAATATGTCACGCTCACCAAAAGGTAAATTTATATTAAACACTACTAGCTAAAGCTATATATTGAGGAGATTATATTTATAGTTACGTACTTGGAAAGGATTTTGAGTTCTTGAAGGTAATGTAGCTGTAGAAATTTGAAGTTAAGCTTGGCAAAGTTGAGTAGCATCTTGTTACAATCTTCTTCTTGTTCATAGAACAAGATATATTCCTTTGCGACTAATATCTCCATGTTCTTATGCTGCGGTAGACTCAAAGCATATCGTATACGCCTTGAGAGATCAGGTTTGCTTGTCTCACTTGCATGTAACGACTCAAAGTAACTCAATGCAAAGCTCAATGCTTCATCCAATATATAATCATTCGTCGTCGCCATGTTAGCAGCCTCGTACAAACTCAGGATACCCTTAGGATCTTTGGCAAGACATTCCTTAAATTTTCCATTGTCCCCTTGGAATCTTCTAAATACATCTATTAATTGAAAAATGTTTTGTTAAACATAGGTATCAAATAATAACCAACAAAAACGTGTATGTACGAACGTCGATCATGACCACAAGCAGGACCGGCTCATGTCATTAGTACATCTTACTTGTTACAATCCACTGAATCCAGTATATATATAAACTACAAGAAAACAACTTAGAACTGACGGGTAAATCCGTCTGTAATCCGTCGAAGACAGCTGTAATCAATGGATTATTGACGGATCTGTCCATCGGTTCTACAGCGTTGGTTAAAAATATATGTTGGTAAATCATCGGTAACTACCGACGGATTACCGACAGATTTGTAACGGATAACAATATCAGTATTCCGTCGGTAATCCGTTAGTAAAGTGTCATCGATATATTCCATCGGTGACATTTTTCCGTCAGAATTCCGATGAAAACTCAAAGGCCAAAAAAATCCTAAAATCTCCATCATTACCAACAGATTGATTTTTTTTTTTTTTAATTTAAATAATTGAGAATTGTCTAAAATTAACATTAAAATTATTTGTTAAAATTTCATTAATATGCAAAACTGAATATTCAAAAATTATTAGAATATATATTTTTTTAAACATAGAAATTGTTTTAAAACGTAAATTACAAATGTCTAATTAAAAATGGATACCGTATGTCAGCCATGAATGCACCAGCTTCTCATCCCTATTTTTATGATTTCTAATGGAATAATATATATATAGAGATGGTATATATATATATATATATATATGATCCCTATATTTACATTAAAAAGAGTGTGTAATGTTAAAAGACGTATTATATTTACAATTTATGAAAAAAAACATATTTTGAGAAACAAATTAACAAATACTAATTAATAATATAATAAACCATTATAAGTAGTTTTGGTGAAACACCCTTATTTTTTGCGATCACACATTTTTTGGGTTTTTAATATACCATTTAGCTTATTAATCATTAAAACCTAATACTTTAGCTATTTTTTAATCTAAAAATTGCGATAATAATTTAAAATGTTTATATAACAAACCATCGGTAAATCGTTGGTAAATACTAACAGATTACCGACATATTTTTCTCATTTTCTCTAAAATCGATGAAAAATCAAGAACCCGTCGATAATCCCTCCGAAATTACCAATGAAATTAAAACATACATATTTACCGACGGATTAGTGACAGAATAGTACTAATTGCCAATATCAGTTGATAATCCAACAAAAAGTTTAAAAATTTACCGATGAAAAATCGATGAGTACGGATAAATACGTTTTCGTCAAAAATTCCGTTGCTAATTATCGTCGGATTTAATGCCGTTGATAATTCCGTCGGTTATATCCTTGTTTTCTTGTAATGATATAGAATATATAGATTTAATATCTGAGTCCTATATTTCAAATTAATATAGTATATATATATATATATATATAGATCTATAAAAACTATACTATAGTATTTTGTTTTTAGTCGGCTTTAATGTACTATATAGCAGGTACGGACCCTCCAACTTGGAGGGAGTGGGAGTGAGATCACTAGCCACTAATTAATAAAGCTCTATGTCGTTTGATTATTATTTTAATAAAATTTGGTTAAGGTTTTTTTTCAAATGCCTCAACTAGCTAGTGTGCGTACTAGGTTGAGAAATATCCTTACCAGAAGAAATGTTGTGACCATATGTCCTGAAAACCCTGAAGAGTATGGAAACTGTATACAAATCATCATCTTCACCACTCATCATGTCCTCTTCCTCCATCTTTCGGAAACCATCTCTGAGAGTTTCCTCGATCTCATCCTCGAAATGATACGCGAGACCAAGGCTCACAAGCAAATAGATAAACATAATATTCTTCTTCTTGGTCGACTTCATCCCCTCGGAAGATAACATGAACATGTCCCTTACTTTTGGCTTTAGTGTCTCTATTTCTATCCTAAGCGCATCCATTTCCTTACAAAAATATATATAAAGAAATGAATGTTAATTTAAACACGACTTCATCATATTCATGTCTTGTATATATATATGAGACTTACCGAGAGATCAACATGAGCTGAGAGGAATTGATTACCCCATTCAGAAGGGGCCAACTTTTCGAAGTTGCGATTATTTTCTTCATTGTCTTCACAAGCTAGAGGTAGAGTAGTAGTGGCCTTCAAAGGAACAAGACCATGTCCGTGTGCATGCTTACCGGGAAATAACGTTGTCAGCGGGAACGGGAAGCGAGAGAGTTTGCATGCTGGAAATGCATTGGTCTGAGAACGAATAGAGAGCTTATTAGATCTAAGGTTTGGTCGTCCAAAAAGTCTTATGGCTTCCATGTTCCCAACCGATGATGAAGATCAGGTTTCACACCACCAAATTTATAGGCATGATATTTTTTGTCACATGAAAGCAGTAACCAACTTTACTGAGAAAGAAGTTTTATTTTATTTGGCCTCTTTATTGAACAATGTTGATAGATTTGCAAATCTTTAACTTTGTTTTTTTTTTTATATGATTATTTTGAGTAAATAAATATTTTTAATGGTCAAATTTATTAATCAACAAAAAAGTGTTATTTAGAATTGTAGTGTTTTTAACTAAAGAAGTCTCCTAAAATCTGTAAATATTGATATATCATATCGATTACTTCTTTTCATACAAGGTACACTTTCTTTGATATCTATGTCCAAGATGTTTTCAAAGTCGTTTGTTATGTTGATTAACCTTATAATGTGTGTTGAAAAAAACAATTTAAAGATTATTTTTACCATATTTTACGAGTGTTAGGTTGTTTCTACAAATATTTTGACAATTTATCAAGCTTAATAATGTTTTCAATAACAATGAATTGTTTTAGTATTTTTCTAATTCAATTGTTTAATAACAACATAATTTAGATGGTTTACAAAGAAATCTACGATTGATTAATATATAATTTTCTTATTTAAAAAGAAATCATTTAAAATGTTGTTTAAATATGAATTTTTCTAATATCATGTTGCATATATTTATTTTATTTAATTGATAGTGGTTTTTTACTTTGTATAAATATATAGAGAAAAGATGAAAATATGAACATTATTGATGGCTGATGAATAAAATCATGATTGATTGACTCGGGATTTTTACCGGCCGACAAGAGACCGGTCCGAATCTGTTTATCAAAATTAAAAGTGCCTCAAAATCTCAACGCACCCACCAAAACCCTGAAATTACATATACACCCCTCAAAAGAAAGTCAAATTACTCAAGAGCGTCGTTTCTTCTTTGTTCGTTCATCGCCAATCGCCATTAATCGCGGTGCCTCTTCTCACCTCTCGCCGTCTCTTTTGACCGGAGGTTCTCTCCACCCTGTGACGGTTACGTCACCGATTGACGCAGAGTTCCGAGATCTGCTCTTCAACTCGAGTCGATGGTCTTCCTCTAGTCGCAAAGCGTGAAGGAAGATTGCTTTTTTGTTTCTCTCTCTGGTCGAAGCAACTATGGGGTCTTCTTCTGAGATCATCGATATCTCTACTAGTGCTCGGAGAATTGGCGTAGATAATCGTATCTCTCTCCGATTTTACTTCAGAATCGCTGATAATATCCTCAAACAGGTTTCGATTTTGAATTTTGTTTTACGTTTTACTCTATAGAGCTTAGTTTTTGGGGGTTTCTTTACTTGACCTCATTCCTCTGATTGATGCTCAGCATAGTTGAATTTTAAACCTTTTGCACCATTTTGCAACACTTAAAAGTTTGATTGTTGTAATTGCATATGTATATAGCTGCTTCCTCGAGTTCGATTTGAGATATCAGTTTCGATTGCTTATGATCATGGTGGTCACATAAACTGGTTTTGTGATGAAAATGAAAGAGAGTAGAAGTTTTGGATTTAGTTTTCATTCTATGATATGGAAAATAATCTTGTGCAAGTACATGCCTTTGTCCCTTGACGTTCATGCTTGTATAGTCTCAGTGGAATTTTGGATATCAGATGCTTGGTCGAGTCTTGTTCTTAGGTGTCTTGGTCCCGGAACACTTTTGTTTCTAAACTGCATCTTGGCGGTCAAAGTCTCAATGTTATTCTGGATGTCTTTACCTTAAATTTTAGTTGTTGGCTTGTTGTTTCTCTGAAATTCGTTGTTTTAAGACTACAATCATCTTGTTTAAGCTCCCTTTCCTAATTATCTGCATAAATGTTTTTGTAGGCCAACATATTTCGGGCAGAGAAGAATGTTATTGATTTATATGTCATGCTTCTACGTTTTTCAAGGTGAGGATTATATATCAGAATGAAAAGAAGCTGAAACTTTAAACTCTTTGTAGAATCAGATCCTAGTACATTTTTTCTTCTGAGATCAACTATGTTTTCGGTTTTCTCTAGCTTGGCTCTTGAGACTATACCATCCCATCGAGATTACAGAACATCTCTACAAAGCAACAAAGATTATTTGAGAATGGTAATATGGTATTGGATATATATATTCTGATGCTTGTTTCGTCAATCAGTCAGTAGTTTGATGTGAGCTGGTATCTTGTCTAGAGACTATTGGATGTCTTGACGGAGCTGGAGAAGTTGAAACCAGTTGTACAGCAAAGGATCGATGAACTGAATCCCAAGCTCATACCACAATATAATGTGCAAGCTCATCCAGCAAATGGTTCCCTAGGCTGGTCTTCGGCCGTAAAACCATCGTTAAAAAGCTATGATCATACAAAGGTGTGCCTAACGCTTTACTCTTGTTTGTCCCACATGCCATCCATACATGTTTCAAATTAAATTGAATTATCTCCTCTCTTAATTCATTGTGAAAATTTTGGTTCAATTTCTAAAAGAACATTATGAGATTAAATTTTAAGCTGCACTAGATAAACATTCCCTGCTCGTTTCTATGTTTCTCTTGTTCGGTATAGGTAAGAAATCCTGTTGGACATAACTTTGGCTACATGGGTTCCAGGGGTCAACAATTCTTGAACACTCTACCACTCGAAGAGCGTTTCCGAAAGATGTACGTCTTCAGTTTCGTTTCTCGAAGCTTCTCTCAATGAAGGATCTTTGTTGGATTTCTCACTGTTTTCTGGTCTCATGGTCCTGTCTTATAGATTTTATTGACTTTATGATTTATCTAGGTCAGTGAACTTCCGACCAAATGAAGAAACCCTTTCTAAGCATTCTATCTTGGGTCCAGGTGGACTTCGTGGACAGTGGCAGCCACCAAATAATGTTGCAAAGGTATCACATGATGCTTGTATTTTTTCTTTACAATCCAATTCTTCACACTAAGCTGATGTTCTTTGCGTTATATGATTCAGGTTCAATATCCAAGCAATATAGATTTTTCGCCAGTTGAATTTCCAAGGTTAGATCAACTAGCTTGTTTGTTGATTTCTTACATATTCCACTCACTCCCTCCAACTTCTTTTGCTTGATTATCTCATGCCTATGTATGCACCTTCCTCACTCTCTTTGTGGAAATCAGCTTCCAACAATTTGTAGATAGCAAACCAATGATAAGGAATGGCAGTAATGATGAACCTGAAAGACCAACCGTTGAATCAAGTGCTACATCGAGTGGAAATATCCAGAAAGATTACACTGATGAGCTTTCTTCCATGATTTCTTTTGAAGAACCAGAAAGTGTTAATGATAACAGTATCATTAGGCAACCTTCACCACCTCCAGTGCTTGCAGAAGTTCAAGACTTGGTACCTGCTTTATGTCCTGAAGTTAGAGAACCAGAATGTAAGATAGAAAACTCTCTGCCAGATGAGTCTCTACGGTCGGAGTCTCCTCTTGAACTACACATTGTAAGTTTGCTATATTTCTCCTATCTTTGTTATTATTCTGATGTCAAATTTTGAAACAAATATATACTCAGGGCTGCATCCATTTCTTATTTTATTGTGTTCTGTAGCTTATCCGATGTAAACATTAGATTCGTGTCGATGGTCCAATTCCAGACACATATCATAGATTGTCTATCTAACCTTGGGATTTCAACCCATATAATATAGAAGTAGCCACTAATTCTATTGCTACATTGTCCGAGACTCTGAAAATATAAGATAGACTGAGAACAAGTTTGTAGACAACCACTGGCTCTATGTTCTACTATCCCCAATTGTCTTCATATTTTGATAATTATCTAATTTTGCAGGCCACAACAATGATGGATACCTTCATGAGGCTTGCCAAGTCGAACACGAAAAAGAATTTAGAGACGTGTGGTATTCTTGCTGGCTCACTAGTAAGTCTTATTAAAATTTGAAAATGTGATATTGACATTTAGCTCAGGTAAATGGGTCAGCAATAATGATTTGCGAATCACTTGTGTGCAGAAAAACAGAAAATTTTACATTACAGCTCTCATCATACCAAAGCAAGAATCAACATCTGACTCGGTAAGCTCTGAGTCTTGTTTTCGTATTTCAACTTAGTTTCTTCATTTACACATTCACTTATTTCTTGCTCTTTTATAGTGTCAGGCCACAAACGAAGAGGAGATATTTGAAGTACAGGACAAGCAATCCCTTTTCCCACTTGGATGGATTCATGTGAGTTAATTATGAAGATCAGTCTTTGTTAATTGTTGATATCGTTTTTTCGCAGTTAATTGGTCTCATACTATATTTATCTTTACTCACTTACTAATTACTATCTTCATTTCCTCAGACACATCCGACACAGTCTTGTTTCATGTCATCCATTGATGTTCACACACACTATTCCTACCAGGTATGGAAAAAACCTTTCTAAATAATTTCAGAACAGAACTTACATATATACATATCTGCATAAAACGATATCAACAATGGATTTACACCTTCCTCATAGAGAAATAATAAACCTTAAACCTTTAATTACAATGTTTTTTCAGATTATGTTACCGGAAGCTGTGGCAATCGTTATGGCGCCACAAGACTCTTCAAGGTAATAAACAAGGAAAAGACCGAAAGTTCATATCAGTTCAAAAATTGATTCGTAAAACCCTAAAAGGATTATGTGTTTTTTTTATATGTAGGAATCACGGAATATTCCGGCTGACAACGCCGGGAGGAATGACAGTGATAAGAAATTGTGACCAGCGTGGGTTTCACGCGCATAGTTCACCGGCAGATGGAGGACCAATTTACAATACGTGTAAGGATGTTTACATGAACCCTAATCTCAAGTTTGATGTCATTGATCTCAGATAGCATCAGTTGTGTGTTTGAAAGTGATACTATCTATGTGCTCTACGGTTGTAACAATTCTGTGTTTGTTTATATATCCCGATTTTAATATGTTAACATGTATTCATGTAAAACTGAAAATAAATCAAGACAAAATACAACTATACTATAATGTACCAGTGCTGTCGTTTTTGTCACTGATCACTATCCAGTTCAAACTGTATAATGTATTGTTTTTAACAAAATCATTTTTAGATAGACTGCATTAAACGGGTTTTGGAGAGATATGGGTACTCTGGCCCTCTCACCATCATCCCCCATGGCATCCCTGAAGAAGAAGAATAAGAAGAAGTAGGGGACATGTCATGTCTAATTAAATCATACATAATTATTAAGTAGCTTAAATAAGAATGGGTCAGGTTAGACTTGGCTTTTTAACTACCATTTAACAGATGTTTAATGTTGTCTATTCTTTTAATTAAACCAGCTTTTAAAACTTTATAATATAGATGTGCACCAATCTCTGGTGTGTAAATGTAATATATAGATTTTGTATGAAAATGGTGTTACCCACATCTTACATATCTCTGACTTGAAAGTTAGGAGTCTTTTATTTCAACAAAACTTTAATATTGAGCATTTCATAATGTAAAGATAACTTCTCTGAGATAAAATTATGAACCACTTTAGTCGTATCTGTTATTGAGGTTGTGTCCAATTCGAAACATTGAAGCAACCTAAAAAGTTTGGTAAGTTAAGCAACACTAACAAAAATGTGTACAATGAATGTTCGAGAAAAACACACACAACAATTTGTAGACAAAATGAAAAGAAAAAAGAATTGATCCAAAACTTCGATAAGCTCTTGCTGCTGTGATCATCTACTATTAAAATGTGTTCAATAAACCCCAACAATGTGCAGACACAATCAAAAGAGGAAACTCTGAACATCTCATATCATCTACTTCTTGTTCTTCTTCTTCTTCTTCGTCTTATCTTTCGAATGGCGTAAGATTGATCCTAACCCAAATGTAGATTGGCCGTTGGGGACTGGAATGATCGAAAAACTTCCTCCTCCTTCACCCTTCTTTGCTGTGTGCTTTTGCGGTCTGAAATGATACGCATTGCAACATATAGAGGAAGAAGAAGAGGGAGAAGAAGGCCTGTGGTTGTTCACATCTCTCAGCATTGCTCTCTTAGAATTAGTAACCGAGCCTGTCGAGTTGCTTCTAGTGAGCCGAGGAAATGAACAGATTAGACTCTTCTTTATGTCGCAGTTGAGGCTCGAGCTCCTCTTGAAACTCCAAAACGACTTTGATGACTTCTCTGCTTCTGAGTCAGAGTTTGCTCCACTTGCTCTCCCGTTGGTTTCCTTTTCGCTGTGTTTTGTGGGCAGTGGTTGTGGCGAGAGAGGGGATGGAGAAAGGGAGGATGTAATGGGAGGGAGTTCGTACTTGTAGAGACGTTTTGGCACGGTCGAAGCTGCAGTTACATGGAAAGGAAGGATCATGCCGTCTGCAAAGATCTCATCAGCTGGTGAGGAGTCTCCTGGATCAAAGTTGTTTGCAATATGGAACTCGAAGTCCGGATTTGAGGAATCTAAAAGAGTTTCATCTCTTCGGATAAGGCCGCATGGTTCTATTACCGGTGGTGGTGCTATATCGGATTGGCCAAGATCACTCGAGAACGAAATCCGCTGGTGACTTGAATCCGTGCAGATCATAGTGAGAAACCAAACAACAACAAAAAAAGTCAAAGTGAGTGAAAAGATCTCTTTCAATGTCAAAACTTTGCTTTAGAAGTTTGAGTGAAAATGATCATAATGCTTTTAGAAGTTCAAATAAACTCATAAGTTGGTGGGAAGAAGTTGAAGTTTCGAATAAAATAATGGAAGGCGTAATCTGTCTAAAGATTGTGGTAAGCCACTCACTTCTATAGGAAGCAATTGCTTATATATATGTTTTTTACATACATATTATATGTCATAAATCATAATATCTAAACGTATTTTCACATGGTTTGAATAAGTATGTTACCGTTACTATTGAGGGGATCACTGTATAAGTTAGGGATTAACACAATTTCAGCCCAATCTAATACTGAATTATCTATAGTAATATGCAAGATTGAAGTATGAGATAAACAGTTGAAAGATAATCTAACTAAAGTTTAGAAAAACTTAAGCAATACAACTTACCTCAAAGAATTAGATAAGTTCTCAAAAAATGTGAGGTCAGGCTTTGTTGCTGGTGTTCGGTCAACGTTAGGTGATTTGAGGATATCTTACATAGATTCTTGTCTGGAAACCTGTGAAGTCATCAAACAACATATGATAGCACATATATTGTTGGTAATCAGATTTAGATGACAAATGAATGCACCAGGAAACCGCAAAGACGCAACAAGTGCATGAACTTGTCAGATCATTCACTATCAGTATGATCATGTTTGCTAAATCCCAAAAAAAAAATAGCAACTTATAGAGTTTTTATTTTTAGTTTAAAAGGCAAGCCTAAACTTCAGTGATAATCAAGTAACCTGGATATCCAACAAAGAAACCATCTTAACCTCAGAGATGCGAGTAGAAGCTTTTCCAGTCCTCAACAGACATTGCCCAATGCACCGTTGATGAAACAAGCATCATGTTCTTGATATTGAGGAACCGAGCCGTGAAACATATTTGAGAACAACAAGTTCTTATGTCAAGAAATTTTAGCCACCAATATACCATCAACGGAAACAATAAGAGATTAAGAGTAGACTATATGGGTCAAAATTCGAGAAACCTTTAGAAAGTGAAGCAACTGCATCATTAAAAACACACAAACAGCTCGAGATTACAATTAGACTAGTGATGAATATGTTTACTAAACTAAACATTATGAATGAATGATGATAACTCTGGTTATCACCTTGAAATTGTGTTTCTTCTCGGACTGGAACATTGCTAAACTTGAGAATGCCTCAAAGTAGAAGAAGAACAGAGAGAGAGAGACAATGAAGCAACTCCATTACTAAATAAAACAAACAGCTGGAGATTACAATTAGTGAATGAATGATGAGATTTCCCAGTAGCAATCCACTTTACAACAAACAATAAGGGATTAGAAACTAAGATCATTTCGTAATCTTCACAGGACATTTGCTAAAACTTGAGAATGTCTCAAAGCTGAAACAAGACAAAGTTGATACAATCTTTGGGCTAGAAAAAGTAAACACCTTTTCACGTTTCCATAGCTCCAGGACCATTATATGAATCAATTGTTACTTCTTCATCCAACCACAATCCTGGAAAAATCGTCTGCCAAAACACAAAAAAGAAAACAGATTTAGTAATCAAAGCATCAAACTTTTGATTTGAAGTAACAAAAGAGAGAGAAGCTTTTACACTTACATTCAATTTCTTCTGAACAAGCCTTGGTCTCTTCTTAGGTCTCCTCGGAGGTTTTTTCCCAAAAGCAATGAAGAAATCTTGTTCAATCTCTTCTCTCGACAAAGGAATTGAGAATTTCAATTTCTCATCATCATTCTCGACGAGGCTTCTCTTCAACCCAATTTCAACCCCGACGTTCTTCGCCGGCGATTCGTCACCAGGTTCACTACACGCGGCTCTTCTCGTCCTCAGATTCCACGGCCGAGCCGCCGCAACTACATCACCGTTCTTCGCTTCTTTAAGCTTGTCGTTCGAGACTCCAGCAATGGTGGAAACGGATCTGTTGGGTGGGTGATCGGGAGAAGGAGATGGGTGATGTGAATTCGATGATGGTAGATTGACGCATCTGAGGTATCTCTGTTGACCCCAACGGAGCTGAGGTAAAGGGAAGTTATGGAGTCGTTTGGATCTTTGAGGAGGAGGCTCCATTGTTACAACTTCCCTTCTTCTTTCTTCTTCTAAAGATTCGATTTTTGTGTTTGTTTCGTCTTCTCTTCGTCTTTTGTTTCAAAGTTGTTTCGTATTTATTCTCAAGAGTTATTATTTTGTTTTCCTTTTTTTTTTTTTTTTCTTACTTATGTTTGATTTATTGTAACGTTATTATTGAAACAAAAAAAGGAAACAACATTAGAATAAAAGTAAAATAAAGTTGAAATTAGGCCGTTCAGGCGTTCACACGCACTACATATCTCAATTATTTAAATTTTTTGAAATTACTATGATTTTCTATATTAAGTTTTTTTAATAAAAAGAAGAATAATAAATATATGGACATAAAAGATATAATTTAAAAATATGGAAATATTTACAAATTTGATATTTCATTTTCAAAATAAATAAATGATATAAAACTAACCAAAACATAAAATTTTAATTTTTGTTAAATTTTTAAAAAATAATTAAATTTTTTAATTAAACTTTTAAATTAAAATACTTAAAAATTTATTGCGAATATTGTGTTTGAGTAAATTTCAATTTTAAAGAGTAATATCGAGTTGGATAATTATGCCGGTTAGCCCTAACAATTCAACTATTAATATAGAGTATCGACTTCTATATTAATATATGGTTCCATTAGTTTCCTAGTTCTGATTAGAGATTATGAGACAATCAGGAATTTGAGGAAAAACGTTAAGAAAAATATACATAAGTATTTAGGAAAAAAAAAGTATATACATAAGTATTAAGTTCATGAATGAAACTTGAGAAATTCTTGTGTTTGAAAATTTTCGGAAAAAATATCATGAAACTCTATTGGATTCTTAATGAAGAAGTTTTTTTTTTTTTTTTTTTAAAATAAATGGTCGAATCAAAAGAACTATCACCAACTATTTCATAAAGAAAGTCAAAGTGAGTCTCACCACTTCAAATCCTGCAGCACAAGAAGATCCGTTACCAAGCAATTACTCTGTTGTTCCACATGCTTCGGTTTCCAATTACTAATCAAGTGCGAAAGGATTCTGATTACAATTTCTTTTGTTTTAGAAATAACGTACACGTGTTGTATAACGGGACGAGTTAGAATTATATTTGAGAACGCGGATTAAAAATCAAGTAAATCTGTTTGCCCAAAAGAAATTAAGTTTAGGACATCACGACAAAGCTAGTGTATGAGATAGTTTACTAATCCTAATATTAAAAGTAAAAAAAAAAAAAAAAAAACCTCAAATAGCATCCCTAACCGTCACCACCACATCTTCCGCCGTTGTCCTCGCCACCACTACTAGCCTACTATACCTTCACCGGGACATCGTCACCACCAGATGCTTCTCTCCTTTCACCTCCGTCACGAGGACAGCAATCAGTAATTGCAAATACCACAATGTTAACAACTACGACTATCACGTAAATAAAGGTAAGGCTCATGTTCTCTTTTTCCAATAAGAAACCAACAACACACGTTTCACCACAAAGTTCAACTTTTTTTTTTATGTTTGGACTGGGATATATAAGAACAAACAAACCCTAGTTAAGTTTCTTTAAAATTTCCTTATTATTCGTATTAATCCCGACAGAATCGTAGTTATGTTTATCCCAAAAAACAATAAAATATAAAAATAAAACTTCTATATGCATCACGATATCCTTTTTTTCATTTTTAATAAAGGCTTTTAATGGGCCTTAATAGAAGTTAATAGGCCTTTTTCTCTTTCATCTCTTTCGTCTCTTCCCTTCTCCCATATCTCCGTCGAGATCGCAAGTTTCACGGCGTCGATCAGCTTCAAAAACTCATCGGAATCTCATCTCTGCAACTCCAGATTCATGGCTCCATATCATTCCGAATCACAACTCTAATCCCTAGGAACCAACCATAATCCCTGCTAAACCACCAGAATCAATGTCGTCGTCTTCCACTTCTATAATGGACAACTTGTTCCAACGAAGTCTCGAGGATCTGATCAAAGGCTTTCGTCTCCAGCTTCTCGGAGAATCCAATTTCATTTCCAGAGCTCTAGAAGAAATCCGCCGCGAGATCAAAGTCACAGATCTCTCCACTAAATCCACCGCACTTCACAAGCTCTCTTACCTCGCTGCACTTCACGGCGTCGACATGTCGTGGGCGGCGTTTCACGCTGTCGAAGTCGTATCCTCTTCACGATTCCAGCACAAGAGGATCGGTTACCAAGCAATTACTCAGTCGTTCCATGAACAGACCTCGGTTCTGCTCCTGATTACTAACCAGGTTCGAAAGGATTTGACTAGTGCTAATGAATATGAGGTAAGTCTAGCTTTGGAATGTTTGTCTAGGATTGGAACTCAGGACCTAGCTAGAGATTTGACTCCTGAAGTGTTTACACTTTTGGGTAGTAGTAAAGCTTTTGTTAAGAAGAAAGCAATTGGTGTTGTTTTGAGGGTTTTCGAGAAGTATCCTGATGCTGTTAAGGTATGTTTCAAACGTCTTGTTGAGAATCTTGAAAGCTCTGATCCGCAGATTCTGTCTGCTGTTGTTGGAGTGTTCTGTGAGCTTGCCACAAGAGATCCTGGATCTTGTCTTCCTTTAGCTCCTGAGTTTTATAAAGTATTGGTTGATTCAAGGAACAATTGGGTTCTGATTAAGGTTCTTAAAATATTTGCTAAGTTGGCTTCGATTGAGCCTAGGTTGGGTAAGAAAGTGGCTGAGCCGATCTGTGAACATATGAGGAGGACTGTGGCAAAGTCTCTGGTGTTTGAGTGTATTAGAACTGTGGTGAGTAGCTTGAGTGATCATGAAGCAGCTTTGAAACTTGCTGTTGCAAAGATTCGGGAGTTTCTTGTGGAAGATGATCCAAATCTCAAGTATCTTGGTCTTAACGCCTTGTCTATTGTTGCTCCAAAGCATTTGTGGGCAGTTTTGGAGAACAAAGAGGCTGTTGTCAAGGCTCTGAGCGATGAGGATCCAAATGTGAAACTCGAGGCATTACATCTCTTAATGGCGATGGTGAATGAAGATAATGTGTCGGAAATCTCCAGGATTCTTATGAATTATGCACTCAAATCAGACCCATTGTTCTGCAACGAGATTATATATTCTGTCTTATCAGCATGCTCCAGGAATGCATTTGAGATCATAGTTGATTTTGATTGGTATGTGTCTCTTCTTGGTGAGATGGCTAGAATCCCTCATTGTCAAAGAGGGGAAGAGATTGAGCATCAGTTGATCGATATCGGTATGAGGGTTAGTGATGCTAGACCGCAGCTAGTCCGTGTTTCTTGGGCACTTCTCATTGATCCTGCATTGCTCGGAAACTTGTTCTTGCACCCGATATTATCTGCAGCTGCGTGGATTTCGGGGGAATACGTTGAGTTCTGTAAGAATCCATATGAAACTGTGGAGGCACTTTTGCAACCACGCACTGGTCTCTTGCCGCCCTCCATAAGAGCTATCTACATACATTCAGCTTTCAAAGTTCTTGTCTTCTGTCTCAGGTCTTACTTCTCGGCTAAGGAATCCATTTTGTCATCCTCGGCTCAGGAGTTTAGTTCTACCTCTTCATCCATGAATGCTTTCACATATGAATCTATACTGAATCTGGTGAATGTGATTGAGCTTGGTTTGGGGCCGTTATGTGGAACCCATGATGTGGAAGTGCAGGAGAGAGCTAAGAATGTTTTAGGATTCATTGGTATGTTAAAGCAAGAATTAGGTGAGAAATTAGACCTCCAAGACAATGAAACAGAAGCTTTTAGAGTCACGGCATTCATGGAAGATTTGTTCTCAGAGGAGCTCGGTCCTGTTTCTACAACTGCACAAGAAAAGGTTTGTGTACCAGATGGATTAAAGCTGAAAGAGAATCTCAGGGATCTGGAAGAGATCTGTGGGGAATTTCTTAAACCCGTGGAATCGGATTCGGTTTCATACATGGACAAGATCAGCTTCTCTGTCTCCAAACTCAGAATCAGAGATCAACAAGAAACCTCCTCATCATCATCTCCTCCACATGAAGCTTCGTCTCTGCTAGCTGAACACCGCAAACGCCATGGCATGTATTATCTTCCTTCCCAAAAGGACGATCCAGATAGCAACGGCACGCCGAGCGATTATCCTCTGGCAAATGAATTAGCAAACGAGATATCCCCAAATGCGTTTAACCCCAAGAGAAAGCCGAGTCAATCTAAACCGAGGCCTGTAGTAGTGAAACTAGACGAGGGAGATGAATTAAGAATCACTCCTCAAGCAAAAACGACTATAGAGACAGGTAACGATGATGAATCTTTGTCCCGGGCAATCCAAAGCGCTCTGCTAGTAAAGAACAAGGGAAAAGAGAAAGACAAGTTTGAGACAAATCCGAATTCGGGACAACGGGAAAAAGAAGAGAGCTCCAGAATAGAAGAAAATCACCAGAACTCAGAGAAGAAGAAGAAGAAGAAGAAAAAGAAGAAGAATGGAGAGGGAAGTAGTAAGCATAAATCGCGAGGGAGAAACCAAGCAGCTGCTGCTTCAGAACAAGTTGTAATCCCAGATTTTCTCTTGTGAGTTTTGTGTTCTTTGAGAGTGTTGTTTATGTGCGACCAAACGTAACGTGTTGTGTAATTCTTTTCTTTTGTGTATAGCAATTTTTATGTATTGGTTTCTTGGTTTCTGTTATAATTTGATCTTCATCTTCTGATGAAACATTTTTCCAAACGAACAGATATTTTTCTTTGTTCCTTAGCACTTTTGTTATAATATATTGTAAGATAGAAACATACACATCATCCGCTTATGATAATCATCACCTAGTATTATTATTCAAGACGGTACTACTGACCACTTCATAATCAGTGTCACTTAATGATAAACAACGTCAATCCATTTTTAACACCTTGGGGGAGAGATCTTGCAAATGCTGGAGACTTTCCTGGAGTTAGGATTGTTAATGTATCCGCGGAGGCTAGGGTTCCTCAGGTACCCACAAAAGCATGGCGTCTGCTCTCTCAGCTTCGTGCAGCACGTCCGTGACGGCGGCGAAGATGACGTATACGCCGGCGCACATGGAAACAGCTCTGACACCGTGCACGTCACCCCTTCTGCCACCGGGATTTTGGCCACCGTCACCAGGAGAATCGCAGCTAAGACGGGAACCCACATGGTCACCTTCACCATTTTGTCTTCTTCTTCTTCTTTGATTTGTTTCTGTTATGTGTTTGTGTTGTGTTACTTGTGTTTTCAGTATGTGTCTCTCTATGAGCTATTATGCCCTTCTATTTATAGAGAATGAGAGTGATGATAATAAAGCTTTCTCAAATTTTTCTTCTTACTTAATTCTTTGGTTAGAACAATATTTTGGTTTTCTTGTTAATTTAGACATTGAAAAATATCCACCCAAAATATGATGAGATGAACATATTTAATTGAAAATCATTGGTTTGATAGTTGTTTTAAAATAAAACTCTAGACTATATTGATTTAACTTTATACTTTTGCATATCAATATAAGTGTAAGAGGTTTATATTAAGGTTAGTCGAAAACAAATTTATGGTTTAAATATGAGGATTTTTCTTTTAATTAATAGAATCATTTTTCTTATAAATAACATGCAATATATATATATATATATATATATTTAAAAATCTAGGTGGTGACCGACAGAGGTAATGCTATCATAATTTTATGTTTTGAAAAATCAACCAAAATATGTGGTGGACATAAATGAAAGAAAATAGGAATTAAAATTTAGAAATCCCTTTAAATCTAAGCCAGATGATTATTTTTTGGGGATTTTTATGATATATTCAATCTAATTTTCTTTTTTTGGTTTCATTCTATAGTATAGGAAATTCATTAAGTTAGTAACTAGTAAGTAAATACTGAAAAAGCAATTAACCATGTAGATGTTTGTTTTCAATCTATATAGAATGTGTAGAAGAAGCGTGCGCTTCAAAATTGTATGTTGTTGGTAGTTTCCGGTTGCATTGTAAATTTAAATTACTAAAACACATATTGATTAGTGTACAATGTACACATACAGATGCACATGGATATAATATAATCAGCATTAGCTCTTAAACACCCACTTATTCTTTAAGAAGGCAAAAAATACTGGTTATTGTTGTGAGTTGTAGTAGCACTCCACCAACTAAAGTATTCTTTAGTGCCATCTCTTATCACACTCAAATACACAAGTGAGACAGCAAATGCAATATTTGTAGTTTTATATAACAATAATAGGTATATAATCCGGAGCCTCTAGCTCTAGTGGTAAAGGACCTTCAGCTGAAGTATCCGCTATCACGAGTTCGAGTCCCGATCACTGCGGATTTCACATATGGGCTGCAGCATTCTAGGAACTGACACGTGGAGTGTCTTTAGACCGCCCACGTGGTTTGTACAAGCGCGAGCGTTGGGATACATGTGTTAAAAAAAAAGAGTAGGTATATGTGGCACTAAGGAAGTGAATGGAAGCATCACATAAGCGGTTTTCAAGAACTTTTATTGTTTCGTGGCGTTAGGAGAGCTAGCTAATGTATTGTTTTCAAGAACATCACATAGTGGTTGGTTCTCAAGAAGATCACATAAGATGATTTCCCACTTTGTATTGTTTCATGCACTTTAGATATATATACCCTACAAAAATGGGTCCAAACACATTGTGATTAAAGCTTTTAACATCATCACGATTCATGTCTAGTAGTGATCAATATTGTAATTATCAATTGTAATTATTGCTTGTCATTTAATTTGTATATATACTTTTGTTTTCTGCTAATCTGCTAGCTAGTGCATGGAGTCATACATCCATTAATGATTTCCATACTTAACTATGACACCTACTAAAGATTTATCTTACATTTTCTTACAAATGTCAAATAGTTCACTGTTCCCAATTTTTTTTGTTTTTTCATCTTTTTTTCCGATTGTGTATCCATTTATAATGATTTGTAATAGTTCCAATTTCCAAATTATCAGAAACCTAGGTAACGAGGCATTTATTATTTTCAAAAATAGATTCGTTTGTTTTGAGTATGAAACAGATTTATACAAGAAAAAAAGTTAACTATACTAATGAATAGTATTCAATATTACTACTTATTTATGAAACTAGAATTTAAACCCTCTCCCATATTATTCGTGGCACATATTTACGGTGTTCTCGATTATTTTTTTGGTCAATATAGAATGATGTCAATATATAATGATGATGAACTGAATAAAAATAGTAACATCAAACAATAACGATTACTCTCGATGCACTACAAAAGAAATTAAACTAGTGATATTCCATAATTCCAACGTAACAGAGAAAAATTATTGCAATTAATAAGTCAATAATGCATAATTACTTTTTTTTTTTAATTAATGCATCACTACTGGTAAAAGCTTTTCTCTTGAACTTCATGCATGACACCTTTAAGGCTTTAGTTACGCCGGTCAAGTTCAACTCCTAAAACCTGTTATTACCGGCATTATACGTTATCACACCGGAGCTCTACGTACCATCTTTCATATCAAAGATGACATCTGCACTTTGGACAATTGCACATTAATTTGTATATATGGAAAATAATTAAATCCTGATGTAACTATAACTTGTTAAATGTCCTTGATCTCTCTTTCTTTCGAATTCGAAGAGGGAGGCTTGGAGATTAATTCGTTGCTAGAAATCTTGAAATATCATTTGTGACTTCAAGTTTGGAATGTTCTTTTGCATGAATTGTTCAATTGTTTAGGCAAACCTATTTGGAAGTAAATTATTTAATCACCAAATAGTTACCCACTCTTCCTTGTTCTTTTTGTAGGGTTTTTGAAGTTCGATTAGCCAGAGATTATATATCAGAACGAAAATTGGTAATCCTAGTTCAACAGTTTTCTCGTGGGATACTTCATGGACTCTAACATTAATCTATTAGTAATGTGGCCTAACTAATCTCAAACGTTAGCTCAAGGGAAAAGAATTGATACATCACATATATATTACCAAAAATTTATCCCACCATCAATGTGGGATATCTAATCACCCCTCTCGACATGTGAGTGAAAACGGTCTAACACGAAAACTATTAAAATTCAACATTTCGAAAATACAACAAGACATACCACTTATATGGACCACGAAGGTGGAAAACTATTTTGTGGGAATTTGCTTGTACCTTATAAGTTGAGGCCTAAGGGTGAAACACTATAAAATTGTGTACACGTGTACCTTTTACTTCTTATTTTTGTTCGTGTTTTTGAGTGTTGGGATTTGTGATCTAAAGATCCCTAGCAAAAGCTGCTACTCAAATCTCTAGTTATTGGTCTCTCATTTTCAACATGTTATCCATCAATTAGACGAGCCTTCATGACGTGCGTGAGAAACAACAATTTTTGAGCTTTAGAATGAGAGAAACCAAACGATGCATAAGGCAATGTCTCACACTCATTTTGGACCTATCTGTGAGAAATAAGACATCTACTTTTACAAGACAAAGTTCAAAATGGGTCACAAACGTAACATCCGCCAAACTCGGTTTGTTTCATGAGAGGCCTTTCATCTTTTAATTTCCTCTTCTTCCGTTTCTTCCCACTATATATTTTCTCTCGGCCTATGTAACTTTGGTTGTGCATCTTGTCTTCAATAAACCACAAAAGGTTCTTTTCGTAATCAAAAACCATTTGTTTCTTATATTATATATATTGTTGTAAATCTGTTGTCACAAACAAAAGAAAATCTCATACCAATTGCACAATATAACGGGAAAAACATACTAATTAAGATGCACAAAACAACAAAGCTAATTAATAAAACACCATATTTGACGCATAATGTAAGATTTTGGCAATAATAGTGTTTATAAACCCTTGTGATGTAGACCTAGAATCGAATTAACATATATAATTACTTTGACTTAAAACTCAAAACTTAGGTTTTATATTTTGGTTAGATGCCAAATGCCGAATTTTCACTAGTCATTTATTTGGTACCTAATTAACTCTATTTTTACCTTCCTGTTTGGTCTGTGACTATATGTACTATCTACGAAAATGTAATTATTATCAGGTAATTTTTCTGCTATTGTTTCCTAATTTTGCACAAAACAAATAACTGAAGATGAAGAAAAAGGCACAACATCACACAACTTTATTCCTTACTGATGACAATTTAAAGAAAAAGAAAAAAAAACAAACTTTATTCCTCAACAAGTAAAATATATACATCTTTATATAATCCATCACAACAACATCTTTAAAACTCTTTTTTTTTTTTTTTGGTTTAATGTTAAACATCTTTAAACCCCTTAATGATATATAGATCTTTTCAACAACTCAAGCATTATGAAGTCAACTCCAGCGTTTTACCTTCTTTGCGTTTAGGACAATCAAATTCAAACCGCAGATCGGAGAAAAAAAAAAGGCATGAGATCGAAGATGTTCTGTAATATCAGCGGTTACGACGTTTAGAACAATTATGATGATGAGCTTTACAATTCACATCATCAGAATCAATATCAGAAAACGACGAATAATCAGCTGCCAAAACCCTCCTGCTAAAGCTTCTACCGCAGCCGCTGCAACCGCTTAATTTGCGTTTGGCGTTTAGAACGGCTCTCCATCCAATCGTACAAGGCTGTTTGATGCAGCACCAAATAACGCATAGAGGACAATACACACATAAGCAACAAACGTTAAACGCCACCTCCGACGGATCCGTGACTGCCACGTTTGCGTTTGCCGTTTGGGATCTTTTTGAAGACAAAACAGAGATTTGTTGTCTTGCTCGACCTTTTTCTTCTTCTTCTTCCATTTGAGAGAGATCGTGTTCTTGAAGAAAAAAAGATTAGAGATGAATGATTTTTAAAGAAGACGATTTATTTATTTTTTATATTTATCTAACAATTATAATATATATTACATCTATCGCTTTACAAACTAAATTTGTTTTTGATAAATACCAAAACTATATAAAATTGTAGATGGTTTTACGTGGAAGTACTGCCGACTTAGCTGACATAAAAATAAATATGTATTTTATAAATTTTGTATTTAAAGAAGAGCTGTCGCTATTATCCCAATATTGATATATATCTTTATGAATCTTTCAAAGCCACATGAATTTTTTTTTAAATAATTTACATAAATAAATATATTTAGAATCTACAAAACCGTGGCCACAAAGAAACTTCGTTCACTTTCAATCAGTTTTAATTAAATATATTTTAAAGAAAAATAACAGGAAAATTGAAATCACTTTTTACTAATAAATGTGAAAACAAACGTGAACTATATATCTTTTAGATTTTGAGATATATTCGTAATTTTTATATATCAAGTTGGGTTACTAGAAATGGAATATATGCTTCTATGCAACATCCTTCCTCTATACCAGAGATCAAGAATTTTTGTTTTTTACAATTTGGGTAACTAACTCAATTGGCATGTTTAGTTTATGTCGAAAAGAATAAAAAAATTGGAATGTTTAACATAGGTTCAGAACTATCGAACACAAACTTGGAATTTTGTTGTTAGTAAAATAATAGAAGTCCAATTCGAATAATTTTTTTTGAAGGCAAAAATTAGATATTATTCGGAATTTTAATATGGTGCTTATGTGAACAAGGACCCCGAGTGTCACATTTTGTCAAAGCTAAGATATGATAATAATAAACATAATTAATACTAGTTAAACCCTCTCAATAACCCAAGAGGCATATATATAGATAGATTATTTACCGAACCATTGGATAGTCAAAAAGACACGTCCAATGAATAGAAACGCAACATTGTTTATCTCTACCTCCATTCGTGGGCAGAGAGATAGATAGATGGTATAAACCAAAATTTAAGGTTGTACTTTATAATCCTTGGTGTAATAATCTTGGGACCTAATTAATCTTGGCATGTAGTAATTTTATGCATAAATTCGTAGAAACACCTTTGCGATTCCTTAGTTTTCTCAATGGATATGTCGTCATCATGTTATCAATCTTCTTATCATAAATGTTGGAAATAGACTAATATTTCCAAAAAAAAAAAAAAATAGAATGAAGACATGAGAAAAACAAATATATAAAAAATGTGTGGTTTGCTAAAAATCAAAAGAGTAATAAATCTAATAATAAATATACTATTAATATAAATAATTATTAGCGCGTCGAAGTTGATATGTTGCAATTATTATTATTTTTTTTTGAAAGTGATATGTTGCATAATTGTTAATGCTTTCAATCTGATTGGCACTTATCTGAGTCTTCCCAACATAGCATGTAGTCCATATCCTACAAAAATCGAGATTCCTTCACTAGTCCAAGCAATGAGCTCATTGTAGTCGTAGTCTGAAATAAAAGCCCAAGAGTAAAGATAACATTATCTCCTATACTTTAAAACATTTATATCATATACTGTAAGTAACATAATTATTTTCTCAAATTTGTAACCATTTAAAAGACATTTTTCATAACAATTGTGTTCCAAAATCCGTTGTCTCATGCAACTCTAGATTTATTAGGAACTAATGTTGTTTTAGCACGACAAATTAAAGTATATGTAATAAAAAAGAATATAGTTTGAAATCATGTAAAGAGTGGTGGGAGATTCATGTTTGTTATAATTCATCTTTATCAAATTATTAAATGAATAGAGAGATTTATAATACAGTATCTTTGAATGATTCAAAGCCTGCCACACATTTTGTACAATCCACATTTTTCCACACATTTTCAATCATTTACTCAATAAATACTCGAAACGTGGCACAACGACAAATATAAACAAGTGTAAATCATGAGAAAACATGTAAAAGTTCTCTCTCTTTTTGTCTTTTCTTTTCCATGTGCATGTGCAGCATTGTTTCTAGTATCATTTGAAAAAAAATCAGTTAAGAATGATACGCTCACCACACTCCTTATCACATGAGACATACGATATATTAATAATCCCAAAATCGGGCTGTTACGATTCTTGACAGAAGATGAAGATCAAGAGGCTGTTATGATTCGTTTTGACTGGTTCCTCATGATATAGCTATGCGTATGGTATTGCTTTCTTTTGTAAGTACGACACAGTTTCAACATGTACACTGATCAATCACGTGTTTAGGGTTTCGTTTGAGTTTCATATACTTTTTCTCCTCCAATCAAAACCTAGATGTACAAAAAGCTTTTTGTTTATCTATGTAATTTTCAAGGTAGGAAGCCACAGCACTTAAATCTTGTCTTGATGCTCCAAATTTGCAATAACTACTAGTCCTATACAAACTTTATGTACCCATGAACTACACGCGTCTATGTGTTATTGGTTTTGTGGTATCTGATTTTAACTGAGGTTATAGAGATCACTTCTTGTTATGCGCGTACAAATTTGGCAATTACTCTTTGGATTAATCAATATGTCTCTGATATAATTATATTATATGGACTAGCTAGTTTACCCGTGTCGGTTTTGGTGATGTGCAATGGATTATCGAATATTACATAGTATACAAGAATAAAGCCTTTTCAACCTTATATTAATATATATGGTTCTGAAAATTTTTCTTGGGGTTTGTTGGGTAAGTATAACGTTAGTAATATATATGGTACATGTATATATATGCGGGTCCAAAAAAGAATATTATGGTACATACATAGGTACGTACCTCTCGATGTGTTTTGTGTGTATGTGAAGGATAGTACACATACAGAAATAGTCAATGACTACTTGGTTTGTCGTTCCATTATTGGTTATCGATTTCATTCCTTTTAAATAGAAATGTGGTCTCATTTTTTTTCCTATATATATACTATACACACCAGTCACCACTTTCCATTACACCTTTTACTCTATCTTCAACAGCCTCTGTATACTACTTTCTTTCCTCGTATATATATTCTCTCTCTTTGACATCGGTCTCGCTTTATATATAGTTCAGAGTCCAGACCATGTCGTTGTTGTTGTTGTTGCTGCTGTTGGTAGTGTCGCATGTAAACAAAAACATATAATAGAGGGCTATCAAAACACATGTATGTATAGTGGAGAGGGTGATATAGTGTGGTTGTTGACAGAAGATAGAGAGCACTAAGGATGCTATGCAAACATACACACAAACGCACATATATTTTATTATATGTCCTTCTGATTATACATTTTATACTTAACATCAATGTTTGATAAAAGAGAGAAGAGCTAGATTTGTCGTCTGCATCTCTATTCCTCTGTGCTCTCTATGCTTCTGTCATCACCTTTCTTTCTCTATTTCTCCATCCATTCTCATTAATTACATTTATGTCTATATATATATGGTTATATTGCATTCTCACCTTAGTATACATGCTCATGATAATTGAGTTCTGAATCTTTAATATTCTTTTGTTGGTGTGAGAAAGTGGTTTCTTACTTCCAAGAAACCAAGTTTCTGTTTCTTAAGTTTGCATACTTAATTTTACAGTTATGCTCATGTTAAATTTGGTCATAATTAAGTATGCATATGAATATATGATACAGTTATATCCATGGATCATATACGGTTTTAAACATACATATAAGTAGTTTTTAAGAAATATCATATGAATGTCAGAATGTATATGATTGCATAATAAAGATATACTACTATTTAGTTATATCACTCAAGTCTCAAGTAGAGGTTTTTGCAGTCGTATGTGCTACATGCATATCATAATTAATCAATTGCATAAACATTTAGTTATACGAATATATAAAATTGTGTCAATTTTGTTGGTTTTATTTAGATAAAAATGATTCTATAGGTTTAAATTATTCTATTGATCACCGATAATTTACTGAAAATTATGTCAATTTTGTTGGTTCTTGATCGCGCTATTTACAGGGAAATATCGATATTTTCAAGTGTCCGGTTCCAAACAGATTTGGGCCGTTTATAATGGGCCGTAAAATTTACAGCACAATATCGCGTGTTGGGAACGTGCCGATAACACACGTGCGAGTGGCAGTTTTCTCAAAGAAATAAAAATTCATAACTTCTCAACGGAAACCCAAAAAAATCAGAAATCCCCAAATCGAAAAAGAAGGTAACACTTTGATCATCTCATCTTCAAGAAGAAGACTCTTCGTTTGTATCTTTCGTAATGCGATGTGCGAGGACCTTGATTCTCACTTCAATTTCTCGTTTCTTGAAGCGATTGGCGAGTGATGGCGGTGGACGGTGACGGAACTGACGGAGGTGGAGGTTCTCAACCACCGGGGAACACTGCGGCGGAGGAGGAGGAGGAGGAGACGGAGGTGCGTATCCAGACGCTGAGTCAGTTTCCTAACAACGATCACGTTTCTGATGACTACGAAGATTTGGATTTGGAATATAGCTCACTCGTATTAAAATCGTTAGAGAAGTACTTGCCGATGGAAATGCTCACGGCGGAGAGAATAGTGAAGTACTTATTCATGTCAGATGTTTTGGAGAAGTACATTACTCGCGGAGACCTTACCATGGTAATGGCTCTTTTGCAACTTCTGATTTCTTTTTTCTTTTTCTGTGTGTCGCCGATCTGTGAAATTGAGATTGCTTCTTTAAATTACCAAGTTCTTGAATTAGAGAATGATCTTCAGCTTTCGTATTTTTAACATATAGATTCTGGTTAGGTGATTGATGTAAGCACGTTAGTGTTAATCCAACAGTTTCTCAGAATTCATGTCTATCTAATGCTCCAGGATAAAAATCGCAAGGAATATAGGCAGAAAATAAGATCCAGTTATCAGGTGAGAGAAGTCTTTGCTCTTTGTTTACTTTGTTTTCGTGCTTCATGCCAAAGTTTAAAATGTTTCCTTTTTCTGCAGCCACGTTTCAGGGAGCTGTATACTTTTGATCCCAAGTTGTTTCTGCTTTACTCTTTCCGGTATGCCATCACCGCAAACACAGAGGAAAGCTTCAGACGCATCATTGCTGAACCGTTTCCCGGTGTTTTCGTCTTTCAAATGTTTCAGCCTGACTTCTTTCAGAAATTGATAAAGGAGGTAATAACCTGTCATCTTGCCACTTATTCTCTTCCGTGTTCTTACCTCTTTGTTTTGTTCATTTGGCTGCTTATTGATTAATCAGGTAGAAAATTTCAGATTGTGGACATTTATGAAAAATTTTAAGATCAGGAAACCAACCTGCAAGACTATTTACGGTGTTGTGCTTGACGATTTTGGCCTGGATTTCATGCTTAACAAACTCATGCAGGAATTTATCTTTCCTCTTTGCAAAGGCAAGTCAATATTTGACTTAAAATGCATTCGAACGACTTTTATTGGTTAAGCAGATCTAATAAAATACAGTAACACTAAACTTCACTCTGCTGTTCTGCAGTATTCTTCCCTGACGTGTGTGGAGAAATGTTTGACTCTCACCACGGATATTTTGTTGAATATGGTGAAAATAGGAATGTTGCTGAGTTGGGTGAGTCCCCTTGATTTTCTGCTATTACTTTGCAACAATAATTCTTAAAAACTTCTCACAGAACTATATCATATTTCCTGTGATACTTAAGCTGCTTTGAGAAAACCAGAGTGAAGTCTTTAATAGCTTATAGCAAACATTGATTTGGTTTGCTACTAAATTTTGAGTAATGATCTACTAAATCTGCAGGCTATCAGATAGATGATTCAGAGATAACATTGAATGTTTGTTTGAGTAAACAATTTGAGGGAGGGGAAATATGTTTCCGAGGCACGCGATGCAAAAAACATGCGAAGACAGATGCACATCCAGAGGTATGTTAGTCCTTTTAAGGACCTTTTCTATGTCCTATTACATTCCAATATTCTGTAAATGGCAAATCGATGAGGATTAAAGTAAACAACTGTTTCACTGAAGCAGGAAATCTTTGATTACCGTCAAATACCTGGTCAAGCTATACTTTACCGTGGCTGCCACCGCAATGGTGCCAGAGCGACAACATCCGGTTATCGGACCAATATGTTTCTTTGGTGCAAAAGGTAAATAAACTTGAAGTTTTCCTCAGGATTTCAGATCACAACTGAATCATATTTTCTTTTACTTTTACGTTGCAGCTCTTTGTTTAGGGAGATGCAAACTTATCAGAAGGATTTCTCAGACTCATGCGGCCAATGCTCCCATGAAAAGAAAGAAAAGGAAAGCCAGATTCTTGCTGCCAAAAGAAAGGTTGAAACAAAAGGACGATGATCTTACACAAGTTTTTAAGATGTTTGATCTGAGCATGGTTATGAACCTATGGTCCTTACTGCAGGAGATGATTAGAGTAGAGGGTGAAGCCTAAAGCTTGACGAAATACAACACAGCATATACAATTGGTAATCAATCGGTTAATCCCTGAAGTGTATTTGGTTTGCCGTTTAACTCCTTACTTACAAAACTGAGTATATGTAGAATCATTTAGAGGTAATAATAGGTCTTTGTACTTGAATCTCTTGACTCTGAGATTACTATGTACATGAAACTACCTGTATATAATATAGATCTTGAATCTTCTTGACTGGATATAATTGCACATAATAGAGATATATACTATTTTTCATATCCCTCAAAGTCTCAAAATAGAGGGGTTTTGCAGTGGTATGTGTTACATGCATATCATAATTAATTGCATAAACATAATATTACACGAATATTTGAAATTTTGTAAACTTCGTTGTTTTATTTACAAAAAGGTTATATAAATTTAAATTATTCACTTTACTGGACAACTTCTTCATTTAACCGGGGAAAACCGATAATTTTCAAGTATCCGGTTCGAAACAAATTTGGGCCGTTAATAATGGGCCGTAAATTCACACTACATCACGTGTCCGGAACGTGCCGATAACACACGTGCGACTGGCAGTTTTATATTTTCTCAATTAGAAAATAATAAAAACTCTTAACTTCTCAACGGAAACCCAAAAAAATCAGAAATCCCCAAATCGAAAAAGAAGGTAACACTTTCATCTTCAAGAAGAAGATTCTTCGCTTGAATCTTTCGTAATGCGATGTGCGAAGACCTTGATTCTCACTTCAATTTCTCGTTTCTTAAAGCGATCGGCGAGTGATGGCGGTGGACGGTGACGGAACTGACGGAGGTGGAGGTTCTCAACCACCGGTGAAACCTGCGGCGAAGGAGAAAAAGGAGGTGCCTACCCTGAGGCTGAGTCAGTTTCCCAAAAACGATCACGTTTCTGATGACTACGAAGATCTGGATTTGGAATATAGCTCACTCGTATTAGGATCGTTAGAGAAGTACTTACCGACGGAAATACTCACGGCGGAGAGAATAGTGAAGTACTTATTCATGTCTGATGTTTTGGAGAAGTACATTACTCGCGGAGACCTTACCATGGTGATGGCTCTTTTTCAAGTTCTGTTTTCTTTCTTTCTTTTTTTGTGTCGCCGCTTCTGAAGTTCTTAGTTCTTACGATGGTGATTCTTGTTAGGTTCTTGAAATTACCAAGTTCTTTAATCATAGAATGATCTTTAGCATGTCAATGATGAAAGCATGTTAGTGTTGATACTCACAGTTTCTCAGCATAGTTTAATGTTTTATCTAATGCTCCAGGCTAAAAATCGCAAAGAATATAGGCAAAACATAATATCCAATTATCAGGTGAGAGAAGTCTTTGCTCTTTGTTTACTTTGTTTTCTTGCTTCATGCCAAATTTTAAAAATTTTCCTTTTCTGCAGCCACGTTTCAGAGAGTTGTATAATTTTGATCCCAAGTTGCTTTTGCTTCCCCCTTTCCGGAATGCGATCAGCGAAAACACAGAGGAAAGCATCAGGCGCATCATCTCTGAACCATTTCCTGGTGTTTTCGTCTTTCAAATGTTTCATCCTGCATTCTTTCAGATATTGCTATCAGAGGTAATAACCCGTCATCTTGCCACTTATTCTCTGCCGTGGTCTTACCTCTTTGTTTTGTTCATTTGCTGCTTTTTGATTAATCAGGTAGAAAATTTCAGAATGTGGGCTCTTAGGACAATGTTAAAGATCAAAAGACCAACCAGCAAGAGTATGTACGGTGTTGTGCTTGACGACTTTGGCCTGGATATCATGCTTAACAAACTCAAGGAGGAATTTATCTTTCCTCTATGCAAAGGCAAGTCACTATTTGACTTAAAATGCATTCAAACGACTTTTACTTTAGTACTAAACTTGACTCTGCTGTTCTGCAGTATTATTCCCTGAAGTGTGTGGAGAAATGTTTGACTCTCACCACGGAGTTGTTGTTGAATATGGTGAAAATAGGAGTGTTGCTGAGTTAGGTGAGTCCCCTTGATTTTCTGCAATTACTTTGCAACAATGATTCTGAAAAACTTCTCACAGGATCTTACCATATTTCCTTAAAAATAAACATATCCCGTGATACTGAAGCTGCCTGGAGAAACCCAGAGTTAAGTCTGTAATAGCAAACATAATTTTGGTTTGCTATTAAATTTAAGTAATGTTTTTAAAAAAAAATCTGCAGGTTATCAGATTGATGATTCAGAAATAACATTGAATGTTTGTTTGAGTAAACAATTTGCGGGAGGGGAATTATGTTTCCGAGGCTTACGATGCAAGAAACATGCGAGAGCAGAAGCAAAGCCAGAGGTATGAGAGTCCTTTTGAGGAGCTTTTTCGGTGTCCTATTACATTCCAATATTAAGTAAATGGTGAATCGTTGAGTATTAAAGTAACCAACTGTTTCTCACTGAAGCAGGAAACTTTTGATTACAGTCAAATACCTGGTCAAGCTATACTTTACCGTGGCTGCCACCGCAACGGTGCCAGAGCCACAACATCTGGTTACCGGGCCAATATGATTCTTTGGTGCAGAAAGTAGGCAATCTTGAAACTTATCTCAAGGCTTCAGATCACAATTGAATCACCGATTCTTCTGTTTTTTTCCTTCTCAGCTCTTTGTTTAGAGAGATGGAAACTTATCAGAAGGAATGCTCAGACTGGTGTGGTCAATGTGCCCATGAAACGAAAGAAAAGGAAAGCCAGATTCTTGCTGCCAAAAGAAAGGTTAAAACAAAAAGACGATATTGTGGACAAGTGTATAAGATGTTTGATCTGAACATGGTTATGAACCTATGGCGGAATCCTTATTGCAGGAGATGATTAAAGTAGAGGGTGAAGCCAAAAGATCGACTGATAAGCCGTGGCTTGTCTATGTTAGGCGTTCAAAGAAATGAAGTAGCAGAGCGTGAAGAGAAAAGAAGCGAGGCAGCATAAAGAAAAGTTGAAGGTGAGTATAAGAGAAGAACAGCGAAGCTGAGTTGGCAAAGAAGAGTAGATACATAGATAATACAAGTGAGAGTATAGATGATTGTTGGTGATATAAGGAGTCTGTAAAGAGTTGAGTCGAGTCAGTTAGAGAACTCACAGGTAGAGAGAGGGTCTGGCTCTCGTAAAAAGCAGTAGGAAGTTGTATTCTTTGGTCCTTCTCTTAACATTGACAAAACACAACACATAGCATACAATTGGTAACCAATCGGTTAAGCCCTCAAGTTTATTTGGTTTGCCGTTTGACTCCTTAGAGTATATGTAGAATCATTTGAGGTAAATAGCTCTTTGTATCTTCAATCTTCACATAACTATGTACATGAAATTACCTGTATATATAATATAGATATGCAGATTGTCTTTTTTTCCTTTTTTTCTTTCTGTTTTGTGCTGCTCTTCAGTTATCTATTAATCGTCAGACTTGAGATGACTTAGAGATCAGATGAGTCTCAAGGATCTAGAGGTGTTAACGTCTAATGCAAAACAAATACAGGAAAATAAAGAGATACTCACACTTAACGACAGTACAGAGTATCTCCAACGTTTTCTCCGGGGAAGCTCTGATAAGGAGTTGTAATGAAGAACGTAACACTGATAAGCTATGATGATGTTAAGGCTTATATATAGAGCATTATCAAATTATAGAGAGCAAATTTATCATCATATGATTGATTGGTGTGACTATTTCAAGAACCGGTCATAAGATTGCTATACAAGCCCTAACGAAGTGGCGTTGTGTCCAGATAACAAGCAGGCTTTGTACTGCCATCTTCTTTGTGGTCTTGATTAGGTTGTGAGTGTGGCTGCTACCTTTGCTTCTGTGCTGGTTGGAGCAATCACTTTTCTTGAGAACTACTCCATCCGATCTGGCCATGTTAATTAGTGAATGGATCACCGACTTTAGTTGCAGAGACTCTGTCATTATCATATTTGGGTAACCTCTAAACCTCTACTGGCAGATCTGATCGAAGAAGAACGGCGTTAAAAGTCTTGGAAAGGTATAGTCACACGTCTTTTGACTAACACATAATTCTGATTAAATAGAGTTTTACTCCCCGATTTACGCATCTTCGGAGACAATGTTTGGATAAAGGTGAATCCATTATGCAAACCACAAGTTGTATGTATTCAACACTTTTTATGCTCACGATTCCCTATTTTGAGTTTTTACTTGCTGATGAAGTAAACAATAATGGTGAAATTCTTGATCTTGTGGATGTTAAAGTTTGGTAGCTATTACGAGCCATTGGTCACAAATTATTCCGGTGAGTATATATATAGATACGTAAGCTAGTATGTAGATTTTTAATTCTCAAATCTAAATAACTATTTCATCTCCATCAATGTTGTTATGGTTCTAAGCAACAACGTAGAGACAACAACTGAAGAAGACATTTTTAAGGCGATGAATCATGCGGGGTCTTGTTACTTATGCATTTTCATTTCTTACATATACTCTTTATTATTGCCATATTGCATTATCATCTTTGTACATGCTGATCTGCATGCATATGCTTGCCACTCAATCCATAGACATTTGAAATATACACCAATTTAATGGTTTGATTTGAAAGTTGAAACCAATAAACTGGTCTTTATAGTGTACTAGTTTAGGTTATCTTTATTTAAAATTAAATTAATATTAAATTTATTATAACTTATAAAAAATAATTTCCAATCTTTTTTTTGAAAAAAATAAGAGAAAATTATTTTCAAATAAACGTGTATATATGTATATATATATATATCTTAAAATACGGTATTAAACGTTAATTATAAAAATATAGTAATGTCAAACGACAATCACCAAAACATTTGGGAGCTATTTGGGAGCTATTCACCATTATTCATAATATTGCTAAAATATATAGAAAAATCTTAATTTAGCAATTATCCTCTAAAACATGATTATACCATTTTGTAAAAAATGTTATTTCTTAACTGTTAATTTTTCAAAAAATCATTCTCAAACTATGAAAACTAACTAATATTATTTAATATGATGGTAAAATTCTTGCAAATTAACATCAATCTAAAATATGATGTTAAATACAAATATAGTCATTTGTAAATAAGTTCATATAAACAACGCAAATAAACATAAAGATTCTAAAATAAATTATAGCATCGTTGATGAAAACATTAAAAAATCTTTCAAATACGAATTATAAAAAACTACGTATTTTTAAAAAATATTTTAAAATTACTATATTACGAATTATATTGAAATTTTGTTATCTTTAATTTAAGCTAAAAATATTATTTTCGAAAATTGTTTATTCACCCTTATGTTTTAGACAGTGAAATGGCTCAATGACATAATACATTCATACAATAATTAAAAATTTTAAAAATATAACATGTTATAAAATAAAAATCATGATTAAAAATATTTATTTAGTTAAACTCAAAATGTAAATTATTTGTACAATGTAAATCCTAATTTTCCTTTATGAACGCAAACTATAAATAACCTTGTTTAATTGTAAAATCTAAATCTCACTCCTCTTTTATAAACCCAAACCGATAAATAATCTCGTTTAATTATAAAATCTAAACTATAATGCACATTTATAAACTCAAACCAACATATAACCCTTATAACTGTAAAACCTACAACTGGCAAAACCAAAAATTAGATAAATAGTTAAAAGAGAATTTTTGAGAAATACCCCTTTCGGTGTACATCTTTTTAAAAATACACCAATTTTCTATTCATTTTTAAAAATACCTCTTTCAAATATGAAAAATTGTAAACTTTTATATAGTTTATAAGGTACATCTAGATCATCATTACTACTGGGAGACTCAATAGAAATATTTTTAAAGTTTTAAAAGGTTCTAAAGGGCATTTATAAGACTTTTATAATGTTTTTATAAGGTTTACAAAGTTTTATATGGTTTTAAAATATTTTTTAAAAGGTTTTTAAAAGGTATTTATACGGTATTTATGAATTGTAGATATAAATTTACACACATATAAATATAATTTGTGTCTATATATTTATAGCTTAGACATAATTTATTGATAAATATCAATTTTCTTTTTTTACTTTTTTACTTATAAATACCTTTTAAAAACCTTATAAACCTTTTAAAAACCATTTAAAAACCTTATAAAACTTGTAAAAACGATTTAAAACCTTTTAAAAAATTATAAAATATTTGTATCAGATTTGCAAGTAGTAGTTATTATATAGAAGTACCTTATAAACCATATAAAACTTTATAATTTTTCATATTTAAACAGGGATATTTTTGAAAATGGATAAATAAAAGGGGTATTTTTGAAAAGGGGTACACCAAAAGGGGTATTTCTCAAAAATCTCTTTAATTTTTTATAATTATTTTATTTATTTTATTTTTTAATATTTTTCAAAAAATTCTTTTTTTTTTTATCTTTTTTTTTCCAACCACACATTAATTAATCTATTTTTTATCTTAATATTAAAAAATTAGATATAACATGTTGCGATATCTTATGTTTTACTTGACACTTATCAGGATCACGTGAGTTAGTAAATTTAAAAACCAAGTTTCGACATATAATCTTGTTTAATTAAACAATAATTTTAATTTACAAAGATAAAACCATAATTCTCTTTTATCATTTATATACCCAAACCAACAAATAACTTGTTTTAATTGTAAAATTAAAGTTTAAACCTTAATCCTCTTCTGTAAACAGAAACCGACATATATTCTTGTTAATTAAAGTTTAAACCTTAATCCTCTTCTGTAAACAAAAACCGACATATATTCTTGTTAATTATAAATTTTAAATCCCTATCTTATTAATAAACCAAATTGACATAGCTGAAATTAGGTTATTTGTTTAAATTTATTAATAATTTTTAATATATAACTCTTTATAATATATGTTTTATATATTTCCTTTTTCGATAGGGTTAATAATATTCCTATTTTATCTAAATATTAACAAAATTAGAATCAACACGTGTCAACATCTTAACGTTAAAGTAGAGGGTGAAAGGATACGCTGGGATTTTCTTGAGGACACTTTACGAGCTGCGGGCTTTGATGAGCAATGGGTTAACTGGATTTTATAGTGTGTTCGGGGACCCTCAATGACTATCTTGTGGAATGGGGAGAAAACGGAAACTTTTAAACCAATGCGTGGCCTCCGGCAAGGTGATCCGTTGTCGCCGTATTTGTTTGTCCTTTGTATCGAGCGATTGTGCCAAATGATTGATAGCTCTATTGCGAACAAGGACTGGAAGCCGATCCGCTTGTCACAGGGAGGACCTAAGTTATCCCATGTTTGTTTCGCGGATGACTTGATTCTGTTTGGTGAAGCTTCGGTATCTCAGGTTCGGGTCATGCGAGGGGTGCTAGAAAAGTTTTGTCTCGCGTCGGGACAAAAAGTGAGCCTAGAAAAGTCTAAAGTTTTCTTCTCCAACAATGTCTCTAGAGAGTTGGCTCGATTGATTAGTGATGCAAGTGGCATTAAGGCGACAGTGGATTTGGGGAAGTATTTGGGAATGCCCGTTCTACAAAAGAGGATAAACAAAGACACCTTTGGAGAGGTTTTGGGGAGGGTCTCCTCTCGGCTGGCAGGGTGGCGAGGTCAGTTTCTGAGTTTTGCAGGGAGGTTAACTCTAACTAAATCGGTCTTGTCGTCAATCCCGGTTCACACAATGAGCTCTATTGCCCTTCCAAAGTCAGTGTTAGATGGGCTAGATAAGATCTCTAAAGCGTTTTTATGGGGTAGCACTGCCGAAAAGAAGAAACAACACCTTGTAGCTTGGGATCGGGTGTGTATTCCTCGCAGTGAAGGGGGCCTAGGTATACGGAAAGCTCACGCTATGAATACGGCTCTTCTTGCTAAGGTGAGCTGGCGTGTTATGCAAGATCATACAAGTCTATGGGCACGAGTCCTTCGGAGTAAGTATCGAGTGGGTGAGATTCACGATCAAAGCTGGATGCAAGCCAAGCGGCCATGTTCTTCTACTTGGAGAAGTGTGTGTATTGGCCGGGATGAAATCGTGTTAAGAGGCCAGAGATGGATGATTGGAGACGGGGCTACTATCTCTTTTTGGAAAGACAAATGGCTTTCGCATAGCCCATTATTAGACCGGGTCACTACGCCTTTACCAAACGGTTTAGTTGATGTACGGGTGAAGGATATGTGGCGTAATGGACAAGGTTGGATTCTAGAGCATGTTTTACCTTATGTCCCGCCTGAGACCAGCCTAGAGTTAGCCGCAATGGTGGTTGATAACATTACGGGTGCAAAGGATAGATTGGCATGGGGAGAAACAGCGGATGGTCAGTTCACGGTTGCTTCCGCCTACTCGCTCTTGACCAAAGACCATGCTTCTCGCCCAAATATGTCCAGGTTTTTTGATCGGATTTGGAAGGTATTGGCTCCGGAGAGGGTTCGCACTTTTCTTTGGATGGTGGCTCTCCAGGTTATTATGACGAATGTGGAGAGGTTTAGACGCCACCTAGGAGACTCGAGTGTTTGCCAGGTTTGTAAAGGAGGTGAGGAGACCATCAT